GAATTGCATCTCCAACATTGTGACATTGTTGTTTTTTTTCTCGTTTACTCCCGCAGGCGTTTCCTCTTGGATCTACTCGCGGCAATCTAGGAGGAGTTGCGCCACTTTGCGAAACAAAGTCGGTCGCTCTATCTCCCCTTGAATCAAGATGTTCACATGTTTCAAAGAGAGCTCAGCTCATTTCTCGCTGCCCCTTTAGACCCCCACCCCCTTATCAGTTTCCTCCCCGGTCCTCCAGCGGCAAGGTTTCCAGAAAGGACCGGCCCTCTCTCCGCAGCCGGATGGGCGGGCTAGCGGGCGACAGCGCGGCGACATACTGCTGTTTTTGTTTTTGTTGTTGTGGTCGATGTTGTGGTGGTCCTTTTCATGCGAGAGGCGACACGGCTAAATAATGAAATGCGTGCGCCGCTGCGGCGCTGCCTCGGCCGGGCAGTCGGGGTGTCCGAACGACGCGACGTGGGGGGGGGGGAATCTGCCGAGCACTGCAGACTGATTCCGAGGGTCGTTCTCGTCGCTCTGTCTCTCTCGCACTGTCGGGGGCGTCTGCGTCGGTGCGAGAGAGACAGAGCGATGAAAACGACTCTCGGAATCAGTCCGCTGCAGACGCGTCGGACCGGCGCGGCGTGGGCGGCGGCGACGCCAAGCCCGCCGTAATCTTAAGCGTCGCTCTGTCTCCGCCGCACTCGCGGGGCGTCGGGGGCGTGCGGGCGCACCGCGGGGGCGCGAGAGAGACGGGGCGAGTCCTCCCCTCGGACGGAGACGGAGACGGACTAGACCGGGAGCACGGCGAGGAGCCCGGCTGCAGCGCCACGCCTCGGTCGCGCCGCGAATACCAATCGGCATGCAGGCGGCGGCGCGCGGCGGCGGCACACTGATTATGTCGCTGTCTCCCTCGCACCGCCACGGCACGCCCCGTGAGTGCGAGAGAGACGGGGCGACGAACGCGCAGTTCGGAGTGAGCCTTCTGCGGGCGGCCGGCGCGACGCCGTCCTTGCGCTGTTTATTGCATCAGCGAGGACGGAGCGGTAGTTGTTGTGCAAGGCGTCCCCCTCGCACCGCCACGGCACGCCCCGTCAGTGCGAGAGAGACAGAGCGACTGGTTGGAGTCGGGAGTAAATTGGACCAGAATCATCATGTTCACGACGTGTCCGGACAAGGATCTGCGCGGCATGCACTCGGCTCGGCTGTGGGGGGCGCACCCCGAGCAGCTTCGGACGCAGCCTGCATGGCGAGCCCTCGACCCGCCCCTCGCCGGCCCGACGAGATTGAAAACTGCTAACTAGCTGTGTCGTAACTCGGTTTGGGACACACCGGGACGGCCGTAGAAAAGTGGAGAGAATCTAATGCAGAGGCGCTGTTTCTATGTCCTGCCTTCGTGAAAACAATCTCAACAGATTTGGCCGTTGGCGCGGATAGAACTGAACACCACGGGCATAAGTGAGAAACCACGACCCAGCGGAAGTTGGCATTATTATTCTTTTCAATTTTCGTGAGGAGCAGTAATCACTCCGCGAGGCTTCCGCGAACCCGAGGCCTCTATGAGGAAAACTAGCGAAAGGCCCGCCAACTTGGCTATCTCGGCTTGTTGACATTTTTGCAAGTGGCAGCGCGACGCCCAAGGCGAGTTAGGCGAGTTGATCGCTGCGATTTTGATTGCGCGGTCTTGTTTGACTTGGCGACTCGCCTGCGCACTGTAAGGGGATGGGGCGCCGAGTCGAGCCGAGCCGAGCCGAACCGGCCGAGCGGACTCTCTGTCTCTCTCGCCAGGCCGCCAAGGCCATCATGGCGTCACCGCCAACCTCCGCGCGAGGTATCAAAGCAGCAGGCAGTGTGAGAGAGACAGAGCTATGGCGGCCGCGGTGAGCGAGACGCTGGCGGCAAGAGCGGCCAGAGCCCCTGCAATCGGCAGCGTAGGCAGACCCGCTGCGCGCGCGTGCCGCCGGACGGCCTACTCGCACGGCGCTCTCTGCGTTGCGGTGCGTTGCGGTGCGGCGCGCGAAGCAGTGCTGCCACAATCGCAGGCCGAAATTCCCACGACGCACCAGCGTCGAAACGAAAGGCTTGCCCACCTCAGCCTGCCTACAATCAACTTACTGAGAGCAAAGCCCAGATGTTGCCCAGTCAGTAAGTTGGGAGCCAGTTCCGGCACTGATCCCCGGGGAGAGGTTCTGCCGATTCGTGTGGCAACACTGGCAGGAAGCGTGAGGCGCAAAATACTGGGATAGAATTCCATGCATTTATACTTAGACTGCAGAATTACGCCCGGCCGCCAAACAGTACATAGGCGGAGCCCCGTGTGGCTCTAGTCAAAGAGCCGCGGATGGAAATGGGCGATTGGATTTGATTGGGTGGGGTCGGGCTGCGCGCGTGGACCGGCGCCACTCCCTCCGCGGCCCGCGCAAGCAAATAAAATAAAACCCGCGATCAACTGAAATAATAACAAACCTCGGCTTCACCTTCCTCGAGCCCTCGTTGTTTTCATTGCGATGGCGCAGTGTTTATCCCGTCCAGACTTTTCCAACGGCTACTTGTCCAGCTTTTAAAGCGAAATAATTTATTTATTTTTTTGTTGATAGCTTTGGCTTGCGCCGGCGAGATAAAATTATGGCCGCTCTCGGGGCATCAAGGCTGCTGGATGCTGCTGGAGGCGGCTGTGTACACACACGGCGTGTCCGAACGGCGAGGGCGAGTGGAATGCCAACAGTGAGCCAGTCAGTCACACCTCGCGTGTACGTGGCAGCATGCTCACTCCGAACCCCGTCGCTCTGTATCTCTCTCTCTCTCTCCCCCCCCTCTCTCTCTCTCTCTCTCTCTCTCTCTCTCTCTCTCTCTCTCTCCCCCCTCTCTCTCTCTCTCTCTCTCTCTTTCTCACTCACGGGGCGTCCCGTCCGTAATGGTGCAAGAGAGACAGGGCGACGAGCACGGTTTTCGGAATCGCTCTGCAGGTGGGCGAACGCGGAAAAGCCGGACCCGCTCGGACCAAAAGAGCCGAAAGCGCGGAGCGGAGGAGGAGGGAGAGGGAGGGGGAGGGGAGGGGAGGGAGAGGGGCAAGGGCGGCGCTCGCCTTGTATCAGCGCGGTGTGTGCTGAGGCGTCGTTATCTGGAGACAGCAACATCCCATCGCCCCCCCCCCTCCCTTCCGCCCGCCCGATGACTCCTGCCGTGTCTACTACACCATCGCCTCACTTGGAAGAAAAGAGAGAAGAGGCCCTCGGGAAAGAAAAGGAAGGACGCGCCAAAAGACGAACGGAATCCGTTTCAGATGTCCGCGCCATTATGCACGGAGGTGCCTTTCCCCGAGCTGGCGGAGTGGAGGGGGAGGACGAGGACTGGCTCCGCAGCCATCGCGCAGTTTCTCGCTTTTTACAGAGCAGCCCTGCTCGCTATGTGGTCAGGCCGAGCCGAACCATGCCGGAAGCAGGGCGTTGTTGTTTGTTCGGTGAGAAATATCAGGTGAGTACGCGGGGGGCGGGGGGGGGGCCTACTCCCCGAACACGACGCCTTGTCAGGGCGGGCAGGGCGGGCCTTGCGGTGCCGTGCGGTGCCGTGCGGTGCCGTTAGTGGTTCGGTCGTGGCGTTGAGGGGAAAAGTTTCCCTCCGCCGCGTGCATCCATCCATCCACCTTCCATCCAGCTTCCATCCGCCGCGCCGCGTGGCCGTCCCTACACCACAGCCCTGCGCTGCCCTGAGCCACCGCCGCCACCAGGGTCCGCGTTAGAGCGATAGTTTGAAAGTAAGAAAAGTACTCGCCTCCCTTGTTTGCCCGTTTTTCTCGGGATTTCGGCGCGAAAATACGCGTTTTTTCGGTCCACTCCGGTGGCGTCCGTCGTCGTGCTTCGCGGCTCGCGACCCGTTGCCATTGCCCGGCCGCGCACCGAGCACGCCGAGCACGCCCTGGCCGCGGCCCCGCGGCCGCAATGCGCTTTTTCCGCGCCCCTCGACGCGACTAACCAAGACAAACGTCGCGCCGCGCTGCCGGCCGCGTCCGAGAGGGGCGGCACGCCGCGGCACGCCCCCTGAGTGCGAGAGAGACGCGGCGGCGGGGGCACTCTTCGGAATGAATGAGCCCGCTCGCTCGGACCCGCGGCGGCGTCCCCGCGGCGGCGTCCCCGCGGCCTCCGGCTCTGTTGGTCAAGGCAAGTTGAGACGGACGGGCGAGGGAACGGCACAACGGAGTCCTGGAGGCGCAGCCTGGCCGGCACTGTTTCGACACGACTCCCAGCGGGACGTCCTCAAAGACGGCGGCCATGGCCACGGCCGAGACGGAGGCCGAGACACCAAGAGCAAACAGTGGACGGAGTGGACGGAGTGGACCAGCCCGGACCGACGTCGCAGTGTAGAAGCCAAGGCCCACTAGGCCAGCCCCAGGCCTCTATCGTGGTGTGGCTGCGGAGCACCGGAGCGGCCGCGTTTTACATTATTTTGCACTCTTGCCAGGCCTGTGCGAATCGGATCCGCGATCGGATCTTGGTTTCGAGAAGCAGTCGGCGGCGGAAGGAAATTCTCCGAGGCGGCGGGGCGCGGAGGCGGAAAGGTTTCCAATCTTTAACTTCCCCCCAACGAAGGTGACATGACGCAGATAAACATCGCGGACCGGGCCAGGCCAAAGGTTCGTCACGGGTGACCCCAAACTGAGCCCCAAACATCGGTTGACCTTTACTTTGTGTGACACACGATAGTTGGGTCCTGTAAAAGAGACGCGACCCACGCCCACATCACGAGGGACGACCATTTTGACCGGTTGACACTGACTGAGAATGGAAGGGCCATGATCAGGACCACTTTGTTTCATCACCTAAAATTTGGCAAGATGTACACCTACAATTTTGTCACCAGCGATTTGGTAAAGTATTCACATTTAATGTGTACTGCTGTGCTGACGGCAAGACGCCGTCGCTGTCGCACACACTCGCCTGCGTTGCGTTGCATGTGCGACAGGGCCGCTGTCCTCTTTGCCGCACGCTCCCGCCTTCCCCGGGGCCCCGGAAAAGGTAACTCACCTCATCTTGCAAGTGGTTGCCGAGTGCTTGCTGCTGCCGGTCTCGGGGGTCTCAGAGCGCTGAGGCTGAGTCCGCGGAGGGCTGCCGCACTGGAGAGGCAGCGGGTCGTGGAGGGGCGGGCTGGCCGGGACCGGGGATCGGGGAGCCTAGCAAGCCTAGCCGGAGTGGTGCTGGTGCCAAGAGGACTCAAGAGCCACCAAGTTCCAGCAGTGTGCAGGGCGTGCAGGCACAGAGGAGTCCGTCGACCAAGTGACGGAGGTGGAAGTCCTCCGTGCGAGCCTCAGCCTCGTCCACGGCGCAGGGAGTCGCACCACGCCGCCGGGGGCAGGCGGGCAGGGCGGGCAGGGGCGGGCAGGGGCGGGCAGGGGCCACCCCTCACCCCTCGCAGCGACGCGCACGCCCTCTAGCGGGGGGCGGCCCAACTCGCTGGCCGCGAAGCGCGAGGCGCCAACCGCCCACGTCACGGCTGCAGCTGGAGGAACCCCAAGGATGGAATAATGTAATGCGAACTGAGATGCAAATAATATTTTATTTACTGTGGAAAATATTGCCACACTGACATGATGGTACATGCAATTTTAGATTCTGAACAAAAGCAAAGTTGCACACTGAACTGTTCACACACGCGTTTAGCTCTTTGAATTTGGCAAAAGTAGACAATAATCCGTGTACAATTATCCACAATCATAAATATAATATGAAAATAATGATTCCACAGAAATCAAAAGCTGTTGAGAGAGAATGATGAAGGATTTTGACACACTTGATAAAAAATCACGAAGATCAAATCAAACACACTTCAAAACTTCATAAATATCATAAGAAAATAATGCTTTTGTAAAGAAGTGAACTGAGAGATTTTGACATAGTTTAAAACAAATTGCCAAGATTTGAAGGGAACACAAAGAACTTTTTCTGTTCTTAATTTAAACAAGATAACTGCCAAATTGAACCTTCTTTTCGTTATTATCTTTGATCCCTTCATAGAATTATGAGGCAAGTGCAAGACTCCCATCGCTGCCCGCAGCAATATTTTTTCCCGACCTCACAAATCACAGCTGCTCACATATCCACAATAGAAAAGGCACTTACTATAAGACAAAAGTAACACTCATTCACCAAGCTTCAACAAATCACAATACAAGGCACAAACTAACAAAGACAGAAGAGAATCACAAATTCCCAACATTAGATTAAAAGGGAGAAAAATTTAGACAAAGACCATCAATAACTTCCAATTTAATCATTCACCTTGTTGAACAAACAGAATGGCAAGTTCAGTCTTTCCAGTGCACTCAAGATAATTAAAGAGAACTGCAATGGCAATAAAATGCAACCACGGAATTGATAAATAAACATAAAAATGTAGATGAGTAATAAACACAATATTAATCAGAACTAAAGTGGAATAACAAGCATAAGAAAAACTATTTCTTCTGAATTTTATGCTCAACAGGCATAAGTTACCTTCTCAGAGCATGAGCTAGTACATACGTACATACATACACGTAAGTAGGTATTGCATTGGGGTTTACTCGTACTAGAAGTGCTTTGCAAAGGTATTTCTTTGTATCACATAAATTGTGTTCCGATTTCTTAGCTCGGAAGCCCACCTCAGCACAACACATCCTAAACATGCAGTTACACTAGTAGCAGAAAGTGATGACCCAGAGAGCAAAAAGTATGAAGAAAAGACAAAAAAAACAGAGAGAAAAAAAGAAATAAAAAAAACAAAAGTTTGCCAGACCTACTTAAAATTAAGAGGATTACAGTCCATTTAGAACAATTTGTGACTTCTGAATTCATCTCCATGCTGCCAAGGCAGAGGTTAAGACTAAGAGACTTCAATTTTAATGGTGCTGAGGTGTTAAAACTACAAATTATCATCATCTGACAAGCATTGGAGCAAACTGATCTCACTTTACTGACGAAAAAGATAGAACTAGAAATAACTTATGCTGAAGTGTTTTAACTTCAGGTCACTATTGTATGAACATCCACTTTCCTCAAATATTCATCTCACTGACATTTGAAATGAAACTTTTCTAAAGTGGTCAAGTAAATATACTCTATAAAATTGATGGGAAGCACAACTTCCTCTCATTTTCCAATACTAAGAATGTTACATTAAAACGACAATGAGAAACTAAAACAATTTGAAATAATCCTGAACAAGATATTATCAGTCTTGTATTGCAATTTGCTCAGGACATACTGATTAAATTTTCAAATAGATCGAAATCATTTCGGTAACTTTCAGAAAGTTGGTGTTTATCACACATATGACCTGTTCTAATAATTTTATCAACAAATCTGACTTGTCCTAGAATGGGATAGTTTAGCTCGGGGGTGCTCCAAGTGCACTTGTATTTAAAGCATCAGCAAGGGCAACTTGTTGATCGGGAAGCAGCTGTTGTAGACAAGCTTGGAATACAGCTTCATTCCTCTGTAAACAAATAAAATTTAATGTTTATGATTCAAAAATTATTTTTGACAGTCACACTTCTAACATCAATGCTCATACCTGAATTTCACGAACTAAGTTAAGCATTCGCACAGCGACAGGTGAAGTCTCTTCATCTACAGCACCTCTGTTGAACGCATCAGCAATGATGGCGATAAGACGGCCCAGGTTGGCATTGTTAGGCCCCAAGATGGCAGGGTGATTGGCTTCTATCAAGTCACACATGTAGCCATACACATGGGGGGCCTCATCCACATCCTCCCAAACAGGTAGCCATGACAACCTACACAAAGGATGAAAGTTATTTCCAAGACATCAATTGGCAAGCAAATAAGATCGACAGCAAAATACCAACCAGAGTGGCAAAATTTCATCTAACTGATCCCTGATGGCTGTATTGTTGTATTTCAAGATTTTAGTAACAGCTGCTATGGCATTTTCGGTCGCATTGACCTTTTCAATTGAACGGGCATCTGCTTCATTTATAACCTCCACAAGTCGAGGAATGGCCTCTTTACACGCCACTGCATGACAGAAAAGAATAAAGTGTATATACAGTTTTTCAACAGGGATAAAGATATTTAAAAGCATTTACGAATCACTAAACATACCAGCAAAAGCTTCCCCTCCAAACTGGCCCAGAACACCACAACCATACACAGCAGCTTGTCTCACTTCTGGCTGCTTGTCAGTGACATTGGTCAGCATTGGCCCCAAGAAATTGTGCTGGTACTTAGCACAAGCTGGACCACCGTACTCGATGACATCATCAAAAATACAGAGTGCCCACTGCCTGTCAGACCAGGGCCGCTCAGGGCCCAACATTTTGACGAAGTGGCCAACAAGGGAATCAAACATAGGGAAGAAGTCCGCCTTGTAGGTGAGGAACAGTGAATGCAAGATGTCAGCTACCTTGCTTAAAATGTACACATCTTCATTGTCTTCATCTTCTAGCTGCTCCTCCACAACCTGCAAAATTATTATTTTAGAATACTAAAAAGGACGAAATTTAAAAATAGAAAACAACATCTATCAGAAAAAATTATTACCTCATCATAGTCCTCATCCTTTCTCTTTTCCACTCGTGCTTCAGCCCTCTCAAAGTGATCCTTAATGAGCCTATCAAGGATACGGAGCATCTCTTGCATAGCTTCTTGTGACAGGAATCCCAACCCCAGCACTTCAATACACTGCATAACATAAAACAGTTTTAGAAGTACAGAACATCACTAGTGTGTATAGACCACACGGATTTGAATGAAAGCACACCTTGGCGAGAGACTGCATATGCTCCGAAAGGACTTCATTTTCAGGTTCGGTGTCGATGGCCTTCAATAGATCAGGCCAAATATAGTTCCACATGCCCATGAGGTATTCGTTTCCTAACAAGATTGAAAAACAATATTGAACTGCCATAACTTAAAAATGAGCCGCATGAACATCAGTGGAAAATATTTACCTTTAACTTTTCCACTTTCTAGGAGATAGGGGAGGCTCTCAGTAGCAGCAGTTCTCACTCCATCATGGAAATAGAACTTGAGCATCGGCACCATAAGCTTCACAACAGGCTCAGCATAGTCAGCAAAAGCTTCTTTCAGCTCTTTGGCATAACAGACCAGCATTTCGCATGCAGATGCCTTATCTTCAAGGCCTGATGTGCGGATGCCAAAGTTCTGTTGTTCACCAAGGGAAACAAACTGCCAAGTATCATCACCAGCCATGCCTTCCATGTCATCATTATCCAATACTGCAACTTCAGGTTTCAAGGATGCAGTGCGCATGACTGGCCCAATGACCAGTGGCAGGTATTGCTGGAATTGTTTTCCTGGAATATTAATAAGTGTTTAGTTAGTACAAGGAGAAAATAAGCATATTTAAGTGGTTTACGAGGCAACTGCAGGGTATAAATAAATAGGTGTGGTGATCTTACCCAGCACTTTGCATATTCTAGCCCAAGCAGATATGAGGTAGGATGTCTGAGGGTCATCATCAGCCAGTTCACCCTCTTGATTGGTCTTGAGGAGAAGATCCATGACTTCACTGGCATCAGGAGCAAATTTCTCATTGCCCACCGCCAGTCCAATCAAACTGACACATTCAATGGTCTTTCCTCGGAGAAGTTTCAGTTCAGCAGTATTTGCATTGGCAATTATGAACTTCAGACAAGGCATGAGGTTGTCATAATACTTAATAAACTGCTCCTCCGAAGTGTCAGCAACAGAAGCAATTGTGGTAACAACTTGCTCTAGCACCAACTTTGTGCCTCTCTTCATAAGTTCATCAAACTTAGCATTCAGAATAGCTTGCAATTTACCCATAATAGCATCAAGGTAACCAGTAAGAATGTTTTTGGGACAGTCCTCACTGAAGTTAACTAGTGCCGCACCTAGACAAGATATAACAAAACAAATATGAACATAAATATTTGAAAATGCTTATAGTCATTCAAGAGGAAACTTTAATTTTTACCCTCCAAAATACATATTGTAAAATACTAACCAGCATGTGCTTGAACCCTTGGATTGTTGTTGTCATCAAGTACTAGAAGGAGGCCGGGAACAATCTTTTCATGGAACTTCTTTTGGAAGTTAGGAGCAAAATCAGTTGACATTTGACCAATGGCATTGCAGGCTGCGTACCGTACTCTCGGGTGCTGTAATGAGTAATGGACAATCATGAAATTAGGAACATAATTTTTTGAAAAATACAGCAAGGATAAGTAGTACTTACTGGGTCCATAAGGTATTTAATGACAACTTCCATAATCTGAGGGAGCATTGCTTCCATCTGTTTATGACAACCCTCACCAACAGCAGAAATAGCCATAAGGGCAGCATGCCTATATTTCCAATCAGGATTTTCCAACATTTGGGGAATATTTTGAACAATATGAGGCAGCATGGTCTTACCACCCAAACCACAAGCCAACCTATCAAGAGCAGATTCTGCCACAACATTGTTGCTGATGAGGAAAAAGTAAGAATTAATACCAAATTGAACGGGTGAAAAATTCCTTTTAAATGAGGGAGGTAGAAGACTCACCTGTCGCTATCTTCCTCAACTATTTCATCTCCAATGCTCCACTCAGAGTCATCCTCTAAATCAGTCATGAGGTGCAGAACACGAGGTACCAGCTCAGGAATATATTTGGCAGCTACTTTACGAATCATAGCTGGGGCAGTCTCAGATAGTGTGACAATAACTTCAAGAGCCAGTTGGCGCCAAGTGTCGTCCAAATCAACATTGGAAAAAAGCTGTAGGGAATTTCGTATGTAACATTGTGTGCCAAGATATAAAATTAAGTCTGTCCGAAATGCTTTTGCTCACCTCCATACACATTTGAATGATAGTATCCAGTTGAGGTCTCAAAAATTTAGGACTTGATTCCGCTAGGTCGATTAAAGATTTCAACAATGCGTTGTCGTCTTGCTTCTCAACACTCTGCATAATAACCTGGAAGCATTAAATTGCCAGTTAGAAACCTTAAACATAGGAAAAGCCTAAGGTTTAACAACACTGTATAAAAAATTTGTATACCTGAATTATGGGTGCCAAGAGATCAGAAAAATGCCTCAAAATGTTGTTTTCTTTCTCATGGAGCAAAATGAAAGCACTAATAGCTTTGACAGCTTGGAAGCGGACCTAGAGGAAAAAATCAAACACTTAGTACAGCTCATTAAAACAAAAAAATAAATCAACATAGATGTAAAAAAACAAAAACACAATCTTTTATATATTTTTTTTTAACACAGAAAAAAGTACATACTTCAAAGCTGGAAGTATCTGTCAGAGATGATTGGATCATCTGCTTAATAAGATCAAGGTGGCTTGATTGTTGGTTTCCAAAAATAGCAGGGACCGATCTAGATGCACCAGAGACACTCATTAAACCCAGGATAGGGAAAACTTTTCAGAAAAATAGACACATTAGAACTTACGTAAACATTCTCAAGGCTGACTCTTTCAGGACTGGTACTGGGCTATTGGCACACTGGAAAAGAAACTGAAGAAATTCTGGCCATGTATTGTTACCATCATCATCGAGGAAATTTCTGGCCACTTCAGCAGCGACATCACACATTTTCCTGCGGCAAGCATCTGACTGATCCCTCTGGACAGCGAGCAGCACTTTCGATTTCAAGTCAGCCTGAGCTTCGGGTGATAGCTAGACAGGAGAAGAGACATTATAGTTGGAGCGCCAAAGTTGGATAGTGGGCAAGGCTTTAAAGAAGATTACTTCATATTACCTTAGGGAAGAATTCTGAGAAGTCTGATGTGAAAAGGCGCCGGAGAAGAATGGCCGCCATTTGAACAACTTCTTCACCAAGTGCAGCATTGTGAAGGCTATTCACAAGGTATGTTACTTTGGGTTCTACAGGCAAATTGTTGTAGGCTTCCTGTAATAGAAAATTAAGCCATTCAAGAATATTATACCCACAACTTGCAAACAACAAATTTGACAGACATTACAGATGCTGACATCCAGACATCTAAAACAAATCAGATGTCACATATTTTAATCAAGGTATTATTCTCCATTGTTTGGTCGCCAAAATTTTTGGACTTTTGATACAGCCTGACAGGCAAGAGAGACAGCCAACGGGATAGTTGACGTGCGACTCGACCAACACAAGTGAAAAAAAGGGCATTTATACCAAATATTTTGAAATTTAACCTGCTGGCGCAGTAACAAAGAAAACGGCGCGTAACGTCGTTGGGGGGAGCACACTGCACAGGGACAAGCATGGTCGCCTAGGGTCGCTTCATGTACGTGACTCCGAACACTGGCAGCTCGGAAGGCAGCCTCCAGACGGAAACAGAGTACAACCAAAAAGTGGCGACCTTTCAAAGAACGTCTCGGTCCAGATGTCACCGTGGGATTTCACTACGACGATTTAGGTGACGTCCTTTACCCACGGCGCACACACGCGGTGGACATGTTAGGCCTAAAGACACCATTGTTGGCTTTCAAAGGAGTTGTGCAATGAAATAACGATATAACGACCAAGTGCAGTGTGGAAAATTCGATGCAATGGTGCACACGAAATCCGGATCTTACCTCAGCTTGGCTGCGAATCTCATTATTCGTATTTAAAAGGGTATTTAGGAGCTGATAAAACTGTTCCTGCTCTGCCGCCATTTTCATGAACGTGGGTAAGGACCGAATGTGGGAAGCAGATTCAAAAACGGGCCGTTGTGAGTGGAACGGTGGAAGGCGGGAGATTAGGTAGAGGATGGTATGAAAAATTCAGCGGCTGCTTTCGGCAAAATATTTTGACGAGGGAATTCAGCGTTTGCCAACGCAATTAATGTATTTCTGTGAAGTAACATCTTTCTGAACAAATTCAAATCAAGATAAACGATATTTCACCTGTAGAAGTAGGCTTTACGAGTTGGAGACAAGAAACTTGTCATACTCCTAGTCTCTCAACGCTCGAACTCCAATACTGGCGCCGGCGTTTGTTGCTGCAGCAGTAGCAGCTTGAGGGTGGCTGCTGCAGACTCCAAGCGTCAATGAATTTCTTGTTTTTATTTGGAATATCGTACTGAAATTGTCCGGTTCTCTTTGCTCTCGGCCTCTTCTAGCCCCATTTCTGTCAAGCGCGACGCTATTGCTTGCCAGGGTGAGATTTCGGTGAGTTGGGTTGGTTGAAATTGCCCTTATAAGGCACACAGAGGACGATTGTTTTTGTTTTGCTCCGTCCGGTCCTGTGCGCAGGCCGACAACAAGCCTGACGTCAAGTTCAAGGACCTTGTCCAAGCGCCCCCGCCCGGCATGGCCTAATTTGCGCGTAGGCTTAAAACCGCCGAGCGCGCGTCTCTCTCCCTCTCTGTCTCTCTTGCTCCGCAGTAGTTGTGTGGCGTCGGTTCGGGTTTTTTCCACGTCCGGGTCCTAGTGAGTACTTGTTGCCTAGATGCCGGCGTTATCTCATTAACTTTGTCTCAATTTTTTTTGACAACATCTTTTGCCAGTGGCTTGGAAGTTTCAATTTATGTGAACCGCAAAACTGGACCTTGCAACGTTACCCTGTTGAAGAAGTGTAGTGTAACAGGCAGATAATTGACCTGTGATAAGGTGATGGGGAGGAACTATAACTGTGCTGATTAAAGCAAGAGGCGGTGCACCTTATCAACTTCTGCCGCAGACACTTTGTTGTTTTGTGATAAGAGACCCCAAGGCAGGACTGTAACTGTAGTCGTCTACGCTTCACATCTTAAATTGAGCCCTCTCCATTTTTCTTTTGTTGATAGGCCCAGCATTCAAGATGCCAGGCATCCTGAATTTTGTCACACTGGCCCCATCCAGGCTAAACCTATCTTCTACCTATTGTTCTGCTCGAGGCTTTTGTACTAGTTTAAAGCGGTTTCAAAGAGCGGCCCCTGCTGTTTCCAATGCCTCCAAAGCAGCCTCTGAGATCCAAGGAATCCCTTACAGCAAGTTGACCATAGGAGTCCCCAAGGAGACCTGGAGCAACGAACGCAGGTACTGTCTCATGTCCAACAGCTCAGCTATTTTTATTTCTTCCGTCAATCTCCTCCCCACCTCTTAAAAAAACTGATTGCCTTGGGCTTTCCCCCTTGCCCCCCTCCCCCCACCCCATTTTCTTTAATGTCCTTTTCTTTTTCCAATTTTACTGCAATACATCTTGATTAATCTTACTTTTGTATATTATTTTCCTGTGATTAATGTAGTTCTAGAAACAGCTTGCTTTGAGCTTTTTATATATGTTTTGGAATCATTTTTTTATTTCTGTCATGTACATTACAGGGTCGCTCTCACTCCAGCTGTTGCAGCTGCTCTAATTAAAAAAGGGTATACTGTAAATGTAGAAGATAGTGCTGGATTAGGTGCCAAGTTTAGGAATGAAGATTACGCTTCTGTTGGGGCTAATGTTGTTGATAGAAACAAAGCTTATGGCTCAGGTACTTGTCAAGCATGAGTGTATTTAGCAATTATAATTACTCTCAGGTAGAGTGTTCTACTAAGTGTGTGTGCTTTAACACTTCATTTTTTTAATTCCAGACATAATTTTAAAAGTTCGTCCCCCACAAGATTCAGAACTTTCATCTCTCAGGGAAGGGTCCACCCTCATTTCCTTCCTCTATCCTGCGCAGAATAAATCCCTCGTAGAACAGCTGGCAAAGAAACAAATTAATGCTTTCGGTATGTAACACTGCTTGTCAGGTTTTCCACATACATTCCACCTTCTCACACCTTCTCTTAGATGGAATTTTCTCTCTGCACTTTTCCCAAAACTCTTTATTCTTGTTTGTTGAAGGAAGCTAATTGAGCAGATTCAAATTAATTTTGTACATTCCTTGAATCTCTCAATCATGTTACAGTATTTGTTGACAACACTCTTTTCCTGCTCCTCAGCCATTTACAGACTTGCCATTTTGTTTTTTTCAGCCATGGACTGCATTCCTCGTATATCTAGGGCTCAGGTCTTTGATGCCTTAAGTTCTATGGCTAATGTGGCTGGTTACAGAGCAGTTGTTGAGGCCTCTAACCATTTCCCAAGGTTTTTTGCAGGTTTGATTCTTTAAAGATTGCATTTCCTTGACTTGAATTAGACTTTTACTCTCACAGGCTCAGTGATATTGATAATTTTAAAATTCATTTACACAGGGCAAATTACTGCTGCTGGCAAAGTGCCTCCAGCCAAAGTTCTTGTGATTGGTGGTGGTGTGGCTGGACTTGCAGCTATAGGTCAGGCCAAAAATATGGGAGCAATTGTAAGAGGATTTGATACCCGCTCCGCAGTCAAGGAGCAGGTGGAGTCTTTGGGTGCTGAATTCCTGGAAGTTAATATTAAGGTAGCTGCCTACTTCTGTTTAAAACTGTTAATATAAATTTTGACCTGCAAAAATTAATTTGTGCTTTTGTGGTTGTGCAACAGGAAGAGGGTGCTACATCTGGTGGATATAGTAAGGAGATGTCTAAGGAATTCATTGAGGCAGAAATGGCTCTGTTCGCTAAACAGGCTAAAGAGGTTGATATTATTATTACAACTGCTCTAATTCCTGGTCGTCCTGCTCCAAAATTAATTTTAAGAGTAAGTTCATCACCCTAGAATATTTTTGAATTTACAAAATTGGAACTTTTTAGAATCCCTCTTTTTATTTTAGGAGCATGTTGAGTCTATGAAGCCTGGGAGTGTCATTGTGGATTTGGCTGCTGAAACAGGAGGAAATGTAGAAACCACTCGCCCTGGTGAAGTGTACACGTACAAGGATGTAGTTCATATTGGTTTAACAGACTTGGCATCAAGACTGCCAACTCAAAGCTCTACTCTTTATGCCAACAATATTTCTAAGTTTCTCCTGTCCATGGGTTTGTTTGATTTTTTTAATGTTGGTTTCAATACAATGAAAGTTAAAATTGTGACATCAAACATTATTCCCTTTGTATTTCTTGTAATTTCTAGGCCACAAGGATAATTTTGAAATTGATCTGGAAGATGAAGTTGTCCGTGGAAGCATTGTGCTGCAAGATGGCCAGCTGATGTGGCCTCCCCCAGCAAAGGCAGCCCCTCCTCCCCCTCCAGTATCCGCTGCAAAGGTGGAAGCTGCAAAGGCCATTGAACCAGACTACTTCATGAATAATCTCAAGGATGCTGCAAAATATAGTGCAGGTTAGAGAGGAAATTTTATTGTACTTCCATTTTTAAAAAGCACAAATCTGGTAATTTTGATAACATTTAATTTTTGTAGGTTTGGGCAGTCTTGTAGCCCTGGGTGCAGCTTCTCCCAATGCAGCCTTTTCGACCATGACAACCACTCTAGCTCTTTCTGGAATTGTTGGTTACCATACTGTATGGGGAGTGACTCCTGCCCTCCACTCTCCTCTAATGTCTGTCACAAATGCCATTTCGGGAATCACTGCTGTAGGAGGACTTCTGCTCATGAATGGAGGGTACTATCCCACCAACTCAGTAGAGGTAAGTTGAGTCAAATAGTTTTGACAGAAAATTCCTAATCATTTCAAGCAAGTAGTTTTTAAATTATTGTCTATGTACATGTTTGATTATTTTTCAGGCTCTTGCTGCTTCTGCTGCATTCATATCATCTATCAACATTTTTGGTGGTTTTATTGTTACCAAGAGAATGCTTGACATGTTCAAACGGTATGTGTGGACTGAATTGCCTTTGTATCTGAACATATGTATATTCATGAAAGGTAACTGAATTATTTTCTCTTCCAGGCCAAATGATCCTCCAGAATACAATTACTTGTACACACTTCCTGCTGCCGCCTTTCTGGGTGCTTATGGCTACGGTGTGGCTGCTGGAGCTTCGGAAATTCACCAAATGGCCTCTCTCGCGTCTTCCCTGTGCTGTGTGGGAGCACTAGCTGGCTTGAGCTCCCAGAGCACATCCAGACTGGGAAATAACTTAGGAATGGTAAGAACTGCCGCATTATATTTGTTAAGTGTTTGTGGAATGATGTTGTTGACTTCTTTCATAAAATGTGTTCAGATTGGAGTTTCTGGTGGTATAGCATCGACTCTTGGATACATGGCCCCAAACCATGAGGTTTTGGCCCAAATGGTTGCTTGCATGGCCATTGGTGGTGCTGCTGGCACAGCAATCGCCAAGAAAATTGATATTACAGATCTTCCCCAACTTGTTGCTGCATTCCACAGGTAGGCTTCTTGTCTTTTTATTTCCTTCCATAGTATTTTATTTTATTTTTATTTTTTTGATAGAAGGTTTTAAGAGTTTTTTACATGTTTTTTTCTGTTTTCCATTATTCTCCAGTCTGGTAGGCCTTGCTGCAGTGTTGACTTGTGGTGCCACATTCCTCCATGACTTTCCCACGCTGGCTACTGACCCGGCTGCTAATGTAATTAAGACTGCCCTCTTTTTGGGAACATTCATTGGTGGTGTCACATTCAGGTAAATAGCTTGCTGATTGTACTTGTACTTATTTAGTGTTTTCAAAACCTGTATTGTACAGTTTATCTGCTTGGTTGCAGTGGGTCTCTTGTTGCCTACGGCAAGCTTCAGGGACTCCTGTCCTCCTCCCCACTGCTGCTGCCGGGTCGCCACGCCCTGAACCTTAGTTTGCTGGCAGCTAATGCAGCAGCCATGGGCTACTTCTTTTATGACCCCTCTTTGACAGCTGGCCTTGCCATGCTGGGTGCCACAGGCGTACTATCCTCGACTATGGGTGTCACTCTCACTGCAGCTATCGGAGGTAATAACCTTGTAAGATGAGCAACTGATTATGGTAAGGAATCACCAGATAATACCTTTTTTTGCTTGGCTTTCCAGGAGCTGACATGCCTGTGGTGATTACTGTATTGAACAGTTACTCTGGGTGGGCCTTGTGTGCTGAAGGGTTCATGCTCAACAACAATCTGATGACGATTGTTGGGGCTCTGATTGGATCATCAGGAGCAATTCTCTCTCACATTATGTGCAAGGCAAGATCCTAATTTTTCTTTCACCCTCAGTGTAACTTAAAATTTGAACACCCACACTTAGTTATTTTGTTTGTATTTCCCTCCAGGCAATGAATCGGTCATTACCAAGTGTCATCCTTGGTGGGTACGGCACATCATCCACCGGCTCAGGAAAGCCAATGGAAATAACAGGAACTCACACTGAAGTGTTTGTTGACAATGTGGCAGAAATGATCAGTAATGCCAAGAACATTGTCATTACTCCAGGTATGTAGCTTTTGTAGTTGGTAATTAGTGTTCTCAGACACAAGACCTAGTTACCCTGTAAATTTCATTTGTGGAATTTTAGAGTCCCAATAATCTAATCCTTTTATTCTGTAGGATATGGTCTTTGTGTTGCCAAAGCTCAATACCCCCTTGCTGAGATGGTCTCACTCCTTAAAAGCAAGGGCAAGAAAGTTCGATTTGGCATCCACCCTGTGGCTGGTACGTTGAATTACCTCAAAAACCAGTTTGCATTATATTGTAAATCAAGAACTGTTACTAACTCAAGTTACTTGTCACACAGGTCGTATGCCAGGTCAGTTAAATGTTCTCCTTGCTGAGGCTGGTGTGTCCTATGATGATGTCCTGGAAATGGAAGAGATCAATGACGACTTCAAAGAAACAGATTTGGTTTTAGTCATTGGAGCCAATGACACAGTCAACAGTGCTGCTGAAGATGACCCAAATTCAATTATTGCTGGAATGCCAGTTCTTCGTGTTTGGAATGCGGAACAGGTAATTTTTGAACTATCTAAGTACCATGTACAGTAATTGTAATTATTGTATCTTTTTTATCATCTCTCTGTTTATTAATGATACTGTAATTACTTCTCAGGTGGTGGTTATGAAGAGATCTCTCGGTGTTGGTTATGCAGCTGTCGACAATCCAATCTTTTACAAACCCAATACCTCAATGCTTCTTGGAGACGCCAAGAAAACTTGTGATGCTCTTCTTAACAAGGTCAAGGAGATGTATGCAAACTAATTTTCTATCTAAAGTGCACCTTATTCAGCTTCAGCTGCACTCAGAAGCTTCCCAATTTGTGATTTGTCAAGATTTCGCCTTCATCTACATCATTTAAATCCTCCTAGACTGACCAGTGCCATCTATATGATATTGATCAATTTTTGTTTTGATTTTGGTGACAAAAATGTGTTGCCATTTGATTTTTTTTTCTTTTGTGTTTCAAAAACTTGAATTTCTAATCAATGACTGATATTTTAATGAAAGTAAGGGCCAATAATCATTTAAAGTTTCTTATTTTCTCAGACTGGATTTATTAGTTTTATCAATGTTTCAGTCATTTTGTGTCAATGATATTTTTGTGTCTGTGTGATTAATGTATTTTCCTTTTAAATGAATGTTTGTACCTGTTTTTTTTTTTTTGTTTTTTGGTGTTTATTTAGATGTTTTTTCAAACTTGTGCCCTCCTTTTGTACCTATACACTTTTTTGATGTGCCTTGTATCACTTGCCGCTGTTTTACATTCTTTAAAAAAATGCTCTTGTTTATGTAAGTACCTTTTATGCATTCCTATCGTCTGCAGAAGTTTTCAATGGCAAATCTATCACGTGGACTTGTGGAAGGTGTGGACAAATGCGTTCTGTGGTACGACTGTCATCAAAGTTAAAATTTCATGTCTGTTTTTTATTTTATTTTTTTCTTTAGCCAGTTGCATATGTTTAATCTCATTTCTTCAAATCCCATCGATATTCATACTCGTTTTCCTTACTTCTTGCTTGAGTTCTAATAGCAAGTGTGATAGTGCCAACAAAAGTGATTTTTCCTATATTCTGCTGTATGCTTAAGTTTTGCTCCTTATGTAATGGATTATGTTGTATGTCTCATAACATTCCTCATGGCTGTCATGTGAATATGAGTATGTAAATGCTGTTTGTATAATATTCAGTTTGTGTAGAAAATGTCTAGCCTCTATGTTTTGAGCTCAACTTAATTATGGTTAGATCTGCGCCAGGAAGTGTAACACACCTGGCCACAACTTTTCTTTCTTTTCCTATAAGGTTTATCTGTGTTGTTCCTTAAAAATTTTTAAACCTTGACCTTACTCTATAAGTGTACAGCTTTGCTATCTCAGATATTTTAAAAATAAAACAATGCTTCTGAAACCAGTCTTATGTCCTCACCTTATTAAACTGTTACATAATCTGGGATAAGGAACATTATTAACATTGACACTATGTACAATATATATTACAAAATAAAATAATATCACAAATCAATCATTACAAGACAAAGGCTCTGCTGAACAAATCAATTGGCACAACTATTTTGTGCTCCACTCTCTATCACCATTCATATGAATGTTGAACTTGCAAAGTTAGATGACTGATAAACGTGAAGAATTGCTCGAGTTGAAGTACAACAATGACAACTTTTACATAAGAGAAAATAAGACTTGTCAAAGACCTCAGATTTTCTATCTTCCACACAAAACCACATTGCATTCAGTTAGAGGGTATTAGAATAATGGTGCAACCACTAAAATAAAATTTAAGATACTGGCAACAAAATTTGATAGTAATTTTACAAAACTACAAAGCCAGTTCCACAGAGATCTCATGCATCAATGTTTTGTTACCACAACAATGCCAGTGGTGTGAATCCCTTTGGAGTGCTTTACTGTCACATAAAAAATAGAGAATTCTTTAGGTGTCTTATTTTTCAGTGAAGGGTCAGGTCCTGGAATCATTCTTTCAGACCACCAGAGTGTCTAAAAAGTCCAGGTTCTTCACTCACTCACATAAAGGCAATCAGGGGCATCTTTTGGCAAAGCAGCCTCCATGTTTCACACTCAAGTTAATAAGCTATTTGAGAGACATTATTGTGATGCCTTAGAAGTTCGTTCTGAGCATATTCTACTGCTTTCATAACAAGTCCATTTTCATATCTAGCCGGCATTTCTGGTAAAAATTCTTGTTCTAGTATTGTCATGGCTCCTGATATCACAGAGGTGTTTTGATGTGCTGCTAACTTTGTTTGAGACCCTTTGGCAGCATCAACACCGGCAGATTGCTGCTCTTGGCTGGGAGCCCCTTTGGGAGGTCCCGTAACTAGTGGAGTGGCAGGGAGGATCAAGGGTGGTACAGGGGGAGGAGGCGGCTGGGGTTCATTGTCTTTCTTCCTGCGAGGCAAAAATGAATGTTTCTTCTCGAGCTCTGACACAGACTGAAGTAGCTCTCGTATTTGAGTGTCTTGTCTTTCAACCTGAAATAGAGTGGTTCAAGATAAATTCGCAAACAATGTGCTGATAGATGCATAAAATGAAAAGTATCAGTGTTCTAGTTCCATACCGTAAAATACATTTGCTGAATAGTGTAGTTAAGTTGACTTAATTCTTCTTGACGAGCCTTCTCCTTAGCATACTCCTTAGTAGCCTATGCACCAAAAGACAAAGATTAGATGAAAAATCACAACAATTTTTTTCACAGTAGAAAAAAAATGGACCCACCTGTCTAGAATATTCAAAGAACAATATGCCAGCTGCTATGCTAAAGACAATGGTTTCTCCAAGCATATTGGCTCCAAGTTCAATGGCCATTGCTTCGTTGAGTTGGGGGACTTTAGAAGTTTTCCCTAAATTCATTACCCACATTTTGGTCTTAATTTCACACCAATTGTAGACTGAAACACACAAGAGAAAAACATATACATCAAGGATGAAAACAATAAGTTTTGACAGACAAAAATGCATAAAAACTAGACTGCAAATAAAGCCATTCAAAACTGAGGAAGACCTCAGAAGAGGCCGAACGACAATATGGAATAACAATGTTTGTCAAATGAAGCATTGGGTAGAAATTTATCGTGGACAGGATTTTAAAGACCTGTCATCGAGCGTAAACGGTCATATGTTGAGAAAATGAGTGGAACTTCGGAGCCTTAACCTCGACTACACTCACACTGTGCAGGGGGCATGCAGATGTATGTCCTAAAGAAATAGTTATTCTTAGCTCTTTCTTTGGCAAGATTCGCTATAGGTTTGCTCAGCTGCTTCATGAGCAGCGCCCCAAGCTTGACGACGGGAAATGCCCCGACAACCATTTTAGCTAGATTTCTTTAAAAATTGCAAAACAAGACCCTTTCTTGTCGTCTGTTCTTCCTTTTCGTTTGTTTCGTTCGCCGCCCCATGCTGCGCATTCACATTGGCTTTCCCGCCAGTTTGGGTTGACATTCACATTCTGTCATGGCGGGAAAATGAAAGTACAATCGGTTCCGTTTCCGTGGCTTCAGCGTCACTGCGCGCCTAACGTAATCTCTCAATCTGTGAACTAGAAGCAGACAGATTGTGTTCAGAACATGACTTTGTTTTTCGTCTGGCAAGATCAGGCGCGACAACACTGTCTTTGCGGTAGTGATCTCGCCCCCATCCCTCCAGGGGGCTGGGATTCTTCAAGTTGTAATTTCTAAACTGCAAAACTGTCACTTACAAATAAATTAAACACTCCAAAGCTCACACGACGTTATATGGACGATTAAAATGGGGCAATTAGAATGAGTGGCTGACCTATCGCGGACGTGGTGAACCTAAACACGGCGTGTGAGTGTGTGCGCGTGAGTGTTTTTGTTTGTTTTCTGTGTAGTGTGTTTGTGTAGTGGGTCGGGGCCAGACTGATAATTTTTTTCCCGAATCCTTATCGATTGGCGAGGGCGTGTGTCCGACGGTAGATAGTGGAACGCGGCCCACACCTCACAGCGCGTGCTCTGGTCACGGTTTGCATCGCTTGCCTCGCTTGCATCCGACTGATCTTGGCCGCCATCCATTCCATGGCCGTCCTAACAGATAAGTGTCACCGCGCTCCTGCCGTGGCGGTGGCCGCGGTGGCCGCGAGTGGCCGCGCGGTGGCGGGGCCTCGGGGGGTCCGGGGGCCCGGGGGGCATAGGAAGCCGCTGATAAGCCGAATAGAGCCGAGCCTAAGCGAGCCGCACTGGGCCCGGGGCCCTAGGGTCCCCGCCGGTCCCCGCCGGTCCCCGCCGGTCCCCGGGTGCAGCACGACGACGGGCGTGAGGACGCGGCGCGTTTGTCGTCCACACTAGTCCATTCCGCGCCGGCAGAGACGCTTCGGCGAAGCGAGCAGTGACACCCCCGCCACCCCGCTCCCCAGCCACCCCAGCCACCCCAACCACCCCCAGCACGCCGACCATGGCGACACAGGTGAGTGGATGAGCCTCGCCGCTTTCCGGCTTTCCGGCGCGAGTTCCGGACGGGCCTCCTTCTGGCACTTTCCGCCACCGCGGCGTCCTGTCGTCCTGGTCATGATCGCAAAGCCTCCCCGTTTGAGGGGAATTCGCCAATCGAGCGATAACGGGAGAAATACTCGATAAGACTCCTCAGGGCGGCGCCGCACTGCATGCAAACGGCGAGATACAATAGGAAGGAGTCGGCGAAAAAAAAGAAAGAAAAAAGAGCGCCGAACGTGAGTGTCATTCATTCGGCCTCCCGTGCGGAGACAGGACATATTTGCATACGCAGTCAAGTTGACATGCATGATGTTAGCACGCGCAGCCCGCCTTATCTCGCTCCTAGTTTTATGCATGCGCATGTACGGGACAAACGGCCGCGGGCTGGCTTTGGACTGGCTGCACCGAGGGCTGCACCAGGCTGTGTCAGTGTGTCAGTTAGAATGTAGTGGCGGATGGGTCTCTTTAGGGACGCTTCCGTCTTGAATTAGCGCCAGCAGACTGATTCCGAGAGTCGTTGTTTTCGTCGCTCCGCCTTTCTCGCACCCGTCGAGGACGCCCCACGCGTGCGAGGGAGACAGGGCGACGAGAACGCCTCTCGGAATCGGTCAGCTGCGAACCCTTCGCACACGCCCCCTCCCCCTCGCTCCCCTCGGTCCCGCTGGGGGGTCCCCCAGTCGCCTGTCCCGCTGGGGGGTCCCCCAGTCGCCTCAGACGCCCTCGTGTATTCCCCCTTCCGCCGGCACGGCCTGCACCTGTGTCACTTCAGCTGCCATGCCGCCGGTGCGCCTGTCTGGGAGTACTGACCAAACATCCAAGTCACAACTTTGTGGCCACAAGCAGGAAGCAGGCGTGCGCGGTCCTTCCTCCCTCCTCTTCCGCCGCGCGGCGCGCACGGCTGCGTGTTGGGTTGCCTACCGGCGAGACGGTGGGCGCCTCGGGCACTTGAGGCGCGGGACTCGCCTCGGCCGCGCCGGCAGGCAACCCAACCGACTCGCTGAGTGGCCAGAGGCAATCCTCATGTCACGGCAGTGCGTCCGCGTCCGCATAGAGACGGGTTCACGGGCGCGCCGAAGCACGGCCTCAGCCTGCCCGGGAGGCGGACGGGGGATTCCGAGCACGCCACACACACCCGCCCGGAGCACCCAAGTTCGGCTGCGTGGGTTCAGGCCAGTGTGTTGCTAGGGAAGCGGGTGAAAATTCCCAAGATGTACCAGTGACCAGTGCCGAAAGAGTGCCAGCCCGTCTAGGCAAAATCAGGGCTTCAGTTCTCCAGAAGTTGCCATAGTCTGGCAAGCCCTTTGACATTGACGCGTCGTGGGAAGGATTTGCCTGGCGTCTGTGGTTGAGTCCACGTCGCAGACGCCGAAGGGATAGGGGGCCGCTGCCATGTCGCTCCGAAGCGCGAACCACGCGAACCACGTTAACGACTATTTTAGAGGTGTTTCGGGTGTTTCCGAAATATTCTCGGACGTGTACGCCACCCATTGTGCACGCACACAATGCAGGGGGCGGCTGCCAAGAGGAGGCAATCAGGCGCCTGATTCCGCTCTGTCCCTCTCGCACCGCTACGGGACGCCGCTTGAGTGCGAAAGAGACAGAGCGACGAATCGATGCTTGAGGCGGCAGGCTCGCCGACCCCGCTGTATTTTAATCCTCCGTCGTCGCGGCGCGGGGCACGCCGGCACGCCGCGCCGAGCCACATTGCACGCGCGTGTTGACGCCGAGGTGTGACCACCCCGCGCCGCAGGACCGCAGGACCGCAGGACCATTCTGTCTCTCTCGCACCCCTGCGGGCCGCGGCAGAGAGACACAGCGACGGTAGCACCGTTCGGAAGCTGGGAATGAGACTGCTGCTGCCCACACAGGTGGCGCGCCTCGCCGCGATGCACTCGTCCAGGACCATGTCCAGGACCATGTCCAGGACGGTGCGGGCCGTGGCCGCCCAGGGCACCTTGCTGGCCAGCCAGTGGCCGCCGCACCAGAGCAGCGTCCTCCGCCCCGTCTCGACGTCGAGCGCACTGGCCAACGCAGACGACGTAAGCAGCACCACCCCGTGTCCGTCCTTTGAATGTGAACGCAGTGTTCGGAATCAAGTTGCTGCGAGCCCCCAAAACCTGCAGGCCGAAATTTGGCGCCAGCCCGCTGCGGAAGCTACCCCCTCCCCCTCCCCCTGAAAAGAGGGTCCGGACGCGGGCGCGGCGGTGCGAGCACCAATTTTGCGTCGGTGGCAGCACCCAGCACCGCGGCGGGCGAGTGACGCAGCCCGCCGTCATTAACACCCCATCGAGAGAACCGAAGGCTGCCCCTGATGGTTGTCACTGTGTCCGTCCGACCGCCTGTCTGCCTCGCGTCCGCCCGTCCGTCCCTAAGTCCGTCCGCGCGTCCGCCGTGCCGAGCGCCGCCAGCGCCGCCAAGTGAACGTGTAGCTCGGCCTTGTACTTGACATTCATTTCCCCGCACTGCACCGCGAGACTGGGAGGGGAGGGGGGGGGCATTCTTCGACGTATCCGTCTCGGCACCCCGCCCCGCCGGAACAATCCCAATCATGTGTCTGCGACGTGTGTACATCCTCGGCGCGGCGCGGCCGTGCGTGCCGCAGAGGCTTATGGGCACACACACCGCGGAGTCATTCATTACCCGCACCCAAATCGCTCTCCTGGCTCATTTCATACGTCTGTTCAACTATTTGGTCTCTCTGCGGGAACTCGCCTCCGTAATGCTGGCAGCGTTCATTCTCTCTCTTTTTCTTCTTTTCTTTGTTGTTGCGTGGTTTTTCTTAATCTTTTTTTGTTATTTCCGAGTACTACGGTAGGTACTTTTTTCAATGTTCCCGGAGTCCTTATTTTTTCGCCGTCCTTCGCTTTCGAGTGTTTACTCGCAAATTTTCTTTTCAAAGTACGGAAAAATTACCTGCAGTCGTCTAATTACGGCCGTCCATGATACGCGGCTCGCGCGCCCTGCGGTAATGGAAATGGAAATGGTCTCTCGCTTTGACTGACACCTCGCTCCAAGCTCTCTCGGTGCTGTCAGGGCCCCACAATAATCGCGCAATTTCATTTCAAGTCTGCTTAGCGCGCCTCTCTGGCCGGGCCGTCGGGCCGGTCGGCGTCGCCACCGTTTTGCCAGGTCTTTAAAACACGTTCCGCGCCGAGGGGCTCGCCTCACGCCTCACTTTGTTGGACCGCATTTGGGCATCGCGGCGTCGCATCGCACGGGCCATGGGCCGCCATGGGCCACGCCGCGGGCGCCGCCACCATGCCGCCACGCTGACGCAGCGGATTTCGAAGCGGCCGGTCCATTTTATTAACTGCCGGGAGTTGATTGTGACTCGCCTTTTCAGCGCGTTTCATGCGACAAGGTAAATAGTTGTAGCGACAACGCGCGACCCTCTGTCAGGTCAACCCGAGACACCTCCGCTGTCAGCTGTCAGCTGTCCACTGTCCTCCACGAGCTGAGGGATTCGCTGCAGGCAGCGCCTAGAACCATTCGCCGGTTTGTCGGGTTCGGATGGCAGTGGCGCGTGCTCTGGCGCCTCGCGTTGTGATTGGCTGGCGGCTCGGGCCAGGGGTGTGTCTCGCGCGATCCTGCTCGTTCCGTCTCCCTCGCACCGGCACGGAACGCACGGAACCCCTGGGGAGGCCGAGAGAGACAGAGCGACGGCGGTACCACTGTTGGGTACAGCCTGCGGCCTGCGGGTTTGCGATTCTTTATTAATCGAGCAACTCCTCGCCAACGACTGCCGCAGATTTATATCTGGTGGATGGCGATCTCGAAATTACCACTTGCTGGATGGGATGACTCGGTGCTCCACCGTAAAGGCCGTCCTTGAGCATCTTTATCGCGAGCTTCCCGCGTTTGGACCGGGTTTAGACCGGGTTTGGACCGGGTTTGGACCGGGTTTCGACCGGGTTTCAACCGGATTTCAACCGGATTTCGACCGGGTTTTGGCCGGGCTTTGACCGGGTTTCTAGCTCGCTGGCGGGTCCTGCCAAAGGAACCCCCGTCCCCCCGACGACGGTCGCCGACGCACGCCGAGCGAGGCGACTGGAGGTGAGTAGACGGGCGATGTACAGACTGAACCCTCATCGTATATCTGCCGGCCGGGGTCAAATTGCATGGCTCCGCACGTGTGAAGCTCCGATTTGTGTTTTGAGCCACGTTGCTAGGCCAAGCCAAGTGGGAGGGGCCGACGCTGGCCCCGGTCCAGAAAGCACATCGTGTGCTTATAACGCCATCCCACTAAGTTTTGACAAAAATGTCTATACCCTTGCAGCTAAAACAATACACAACTATTCCTTGGAGAAGATTTTTGGCCATAATTCATCACACGGTCTGGAAGAGCGACACTCGTGCGGTTCAAAGGTCGTGCCATGGCATGGCCCAAAGCGTGCCCCGTGCACAGAAGCCGATGCGTGTCGCCCATGTACCTGTAGGCCCGAAGGCCCGAAGGCCCGAAGGGGCGGCAGGCGCAGAACTGTCTCATGACGTTTTAGGCGCCGCGCCGCTTGATAAATATGCATTAGCGCGTCGTGACTCGTCTGACACTCAGCGGAGAAGCGGGTCATATCGGACGGAGTTATTCTCCCGGCCAAATGGCAAAATAAAATGGTGACCTTGAAAAAAATATTCCTGTTTACAAAATTTTTAAATTTCCCCCCAACGCCTCTGCCTTTACTGCATCCAAGCAGACAACCATGAAGACCAGGCATGGGCCAATTCTTCACCCGGTGTCGTCTTGTCTTGATTGAACTGTAGCAGCGCATTCGTATGAATAAACAAACGGTCGTCAAAATGCATTCTACGCGGTGAAGTGGAGAGTTCAAAGAGACAGGCGGTTGGGAGCCGCCAGCGGCGTGCGCCTCGTGCCACGCCCCGGCCCCACCCCGCCCCGCCCCCGCCCCGCCCCACCCTGCCCCTCACAGGCGTCATCACCACCACGCCTCCGACGACACCCATCCGACTGGTCATCTCCGAACGTGCTGCATGCATGCCCCCCAAACACTCACACTCACACACACTCACACTCATTGACTCACACACTCACACTCATCACCGCACTCACACACCGCGAATGATGACCGCGTTGCCCGCAGGCGTTGCCGGCGTTGCCGGTCCAGCGAGGCGAGCCTCCACGGCGACGGCAAACGCAGCAAATGCAGCAAATGCAGCAAATGGCGAACACGAGTCGCGACGGGTTTCGCGTCCAGCCGTTCTATGGCCATTGATTATTGCCCACATAAACCATTTGCGATTGTGCCGGGAGAGCGCGCTTTGGACCGCCGCTGCTGGGGCGGGCAGACGATCGCTGTAAGTCTGTGGCCTGCTACTCGGCTGGATCATAGGGAATGCCTTCCTCTGGGTCTCCTACTTTCCGGAGGGTGTCTGTAGAAGGGGTCGATGCTTTCCATGACGGCTGTTGGTGGGAAATACGATGCGTTGGAATCATGGTTTTGTGGTATCGAGGAGGAATCCATGGCGCCGTGACGCAGTGCGACCTAGCTCGTCCCCGCCCCGCCCCGCCCCGCCCCACCCCGCCCCGCCCCGCGGCCGCCGGTCAAGCAGGTCCGCCGCCCTGGGCCGTGCCGGGCGTGCCGGCGTGCCAGGTTGCGCGTACTTTCCCTGCAGTGCGGACCGCGCTCCTGACGTCTTGTTGTGACTGCGTCGACGGCGTGGTGCGTGCCGCGGCGTGCCGTTCCCCGAATACATTTTGTGGTCGAGAAAAGGGAAAAATTGGACCGCCGCGGTGGGCAGGCTCGGCGCATCCCGCCTGACTCACCCACCCAAGCAGGCGAGCTGATCGCTATTCGGGTTCCAGTCCACTCGGTTTTCCCCCGCACCTTTATTTTCGTCAAAACAGCTCCCCGCACCTGCGACCCGACCCCCATACAGACGACACGGTGACACCGTGATCGCCTCGGAGTCTCTGCGCGGAGGAGTCGGCGCCGACACCGGATAGCCCCGCGACGCCTACCCGCCTGCCGATAATGTCGGCACCACACCGCGGAGAACAACTCCGAGAACGCCTCACCATTTCTTGGGTCATCATACTCGTATGATTCGCGGTCCAGCCCCCTAATCCTTATCCCTTTGCATGGCGATGGTCCGCGCGGATCCGAGGATCACTTCCAAGAGCCTGTTGTCTTGCTCGTCCGAGGAACAGAAACGTGGACGTGGCCGACGAGCCGGCCTGCACGCACTTTACGTCTGAAGGAAAAAAAGAAAAACGAAAAACAAGGGGGCTTGACTGGCCAACACTTTTATTTCCAGCCATCTCGACCGAAAGAAAGAGGCTCCATTTCTGTTTTAATTGAGTCCACTGAACTTCGAAATTCGGAACAACTCCGCGCTTGGGCCAGCGGGTGGCGTGGCGTATGGGAGGCCCACGGTGGAGACGGTCTTGCGTCCGTCGTGACAGTGACCACTGCAGTGATAGCGTGATGTAATTAGTGAAATACGAGTGCCGTCCAAGGCCATCGCAGCAGAAGCTCCGACACTTGTCTCTCTTGTCGCTTTGGGGCGATTCCGAATCCCTCGTCCGAAGCCATGGCGTCACTGGAAGCTTTATGTGGACGGGGCAGCCGGCCGTCCTGCGTGAACGGATTCCCCCGCCCCGCCCCGCCCCGCCCCGCCCCGCCCCGCCCCGCCATACACCTTGCCGTTGAATCAGGCGACGCACCGAGTGCGCGGATTAATGACTCGAGGGGAATCACCGGAATTCCCTCCGAGCTCCGCGCGACACTGGAAAAGAGCGTCGCCGCGCCGCTGGATGCTGTTGGCTGATTCCGTGCCGCTTTCGTGGCTCTGTCTCTCTCGCACTCGTGGGTCGTCCCGCATCGGACGTGACAGACAGAGCGGCAAATCACCGATCGACATCGGCCTGCTGGATGGCGGAGCTAGGTCGCGGGAAGGCGCCTGGCGGGTAGGCAACGCGTGCACACGCCGTCTCGACGGGTTGCCTACCTCGCAGGCTGGCTCGCCGCCGGGAGGAGTGGGGCAGCGTTTACTGCCTATTCGGCGGAGCGCTGCGAGACAGACACAGACACAGCCACGCGGTGACCGGGGCGGAGCGCTACGCTCGGCTACGCCACGCCCCACGTGGAGTCTCTGCGTCACGCCGGAGCGCTGCGGAGCGCTGCGGAGCCGAGGGGCCTTGAGCTTGAACTGGACGGTCGGAGTCAGCCGCGGGAGAGGGCAGCGGAGGGCGAAGCGGGTACCAACCGAACGTGTCGAATCCGCGCCAATCCGAATCCGAATCCGAATGACGGACCATCAATCAAGAGGGCCGGCCGGCCAAACGGGACGAGGTCCTATTCTGCGGGGTCATGATTTGCTCGCCGGCACGTGCCAGTGCCACTCCACTGTAAGGCCCCGGCGAGTCACACGCGGCGGGAGCCACGATCCCGAGCCGAAACAAACCAATGCGCGTTTTAAACACTCGGGTTTTCGCTTATCGCCCTTTTACGTTTATGGCTTTTTGGGCGCGGTCGCTCGCCGCTGCACCGCGGCCCGGACTGTACACCACGCCTGGGATCGCGGCTCCAGCACCCGGCGGGCCGCCTCCACACGGCGCCAGGCGCTCTCTCTCGCTCTCACGGGGCGTGCCGCGAGGACGCGAGGGCGAGACAGAGACAGAGGCGTTGTTCGCAACCATCCTGGCCTATCCTCTCTGCTAATAAATGACTCCATTAAGTCTGCGGCGAATCGTGGAGCGGCTCGAATCCCTGCAAGGCGCGCATATCGCCACTGCATCTCGAGGACGCGTGGCGCCGCATGGCGCCGCATGGCGCCGCACTGCAGGACTGGAACTAGAACACACAGCGCAGGCGTGTCCTACACACTGCGAGTCCCTGCGCCACCGCGCTAGGCTCCGTGTTCACGTCCAGGATATGCACTCTTAAAACCTTACGAAGTATTTTGAGCATACGTATAACAAACTAAAATACTTTGTTATACGAAGAAATAGTTCGTAAATTACAAAGTATTTTCTTTGTAAGCTTACGTATGCTCAAAATACTTTGTTATACAAACTACTTTTCTTTGTAAGGCCCAAAATAGTTTGTAAGGTTTTCTCAGTGTGAACGGGCCTGACACACACGCACACGCCCTCTATGCGCCAGTGTGTGTGTGTGCTGAGCCGCATTCAAAGCAGCCATCGAGGGGCGATAACGGAACCAAATCTATCAATCAGGGGGAAATCTCTCGGCTTGTTCCTGATCAGTGCAGGCAACAGGCAGCACTGCCGCGCGAGGCGCGCTAAGCGCTCCCTCCACCCCGGGCGCCGGAAGACCAGTTCGGCCAGCCAGTTGCTCTCTCTCTCTGTCTCTCTCTCTCTCTCTCTCTCCTCTCTCTCTCTCTCTCTCTCTCTCTCTCTCTCTCTCGCAGCCCTACGGGGCGTCCCACGAGTACGAGTGAGACAGAGACGGGGGCCAGACGGAGCGCCGCGGGCTTGTCCCGAACGGGAAGGGTGACTTGCTCACTGGCTTACTATAGTAAGCGGCAAACGCCGCTGGTCGAGTATCATAGACAACAACACCATTGTCGGCTTGGCGTTGTCTGGACTGCCGGCCCCGAGGGGATATTCCGAGTCGCCCACACTGGTTGCCTACCTCGCCGGGGTGCTCTTGGTGCCCGGATTGGCTGGGTTCGGATCGGATCGGACCGGATACCGCGGCCGGCGTGGACTGCGGACGGCGTGCATGGAGCCGCAGATTGATCCCGTCGCTGTCTCTCTCGCACTCCTACGGGACGCCCCGTGAGTTCGAGAGAGAGCGAAGATCTTCTGTTCGCTCCGCGCTCGTATCGCTTGTGTCGTGTCGTCGTGTCCCTGCTCTGCCGCAGCCACGCTCCACTCTAGATGTCCGTCTGTATGATGTCTGCCGATGTCTGCATGGTGTCCAGGTGTCTCGGTGGGCAGAGCGGACGAGAGGAGACGGGACCATTGGCGTGGATCGGATCGACGCAGTCGTTGAATACCGAATGGACGGAAATGCTGAATAGATGATTGGCAGTCATTCCTGGACTGTTGGATTGTCAAGCCGTGCAGATGGCCTCTGATTACACCAATACTCCAGGTTTACAATCTGTCCTCTCATCTGCCGTAACCTCACACACATCACGGCCGGACACAGAGGGGTAGGGGCGAGGGGGTAACCACTCGCGTAATACCCTGTACACCAAAACCGTGTATTACGCGTAATACACGTGATCGTAATACCATTTTTGGGTCAAATGTGCCAAATTTTGGCATTTTAAGGCCGTAATACACGTGTAATACACCGTAATACAGCGTAATACCGAGTAGTCTGTACACGATTTCTTGAAGTGTTTACCCCCTCGGGTAGGGGGCGCCACAGGACACCGCAGTGTCCAGGCTGCCCGCGCTGGAGGGGCCTGGAGGGGCCTGGAGGGGCCTGGAGGGGCCCGGACTCCCTTGCCTCACCTGGTGGAGGGGGCTGTCCAGGTTCAGGATGGCAAGCGGTCAGTGCCGGAGCGCGGCGGGGCGGTGCGCGGCGCGGCGGGGCGGGGCGGGGCACGGTCGGGCACGGCACCTCAAAACCGACCGAGTGCTCCCTCTCCGCACCAGTCCAGCCCCGTCGTGTCCAGCGCGCGCACCACTGCCGACGCGCACTCCGACAAGCTCTCCGACAAGCTCTCCGACAAGCAGTACGCCATGGCCCTGCAGTTCGACGCCATGCCCGCCGAGGCCTCCGTGTTCCGCTTCCCCGACATCCGCAGCAGCCTGCCCGCCATCCCCGTCGTAAGTCCCGAACCTCACGCACCTCTCGACCCTCTCGAACGATCGGCAAACCATCATCTGCAGAGCGAACCCTCGATCTAAACGACTGCCTGCGATCCAGCGTCACCGCGTCACAACGTCACAGCTAGCTGATTGACATCACCCGCTAAAAAATAGGCGCGCAGTGACCTCAGCGACGCCCTCCCGCTCAAATTAGACTGTCAGTTTTGTCACTTTTCCGCTTGTCGCGGACAAACACCACATTCACACACACGACACACTCACACACACACAGAGCCCAAGTACCCTCCATTGGCCGGCGCACTTGTGTGTGAACACAAGACCGCCCCCCTCCTCTTGGCCTCTTCGCTCTGGCCTCGCGGCCCGTCGGTGTTTTGCAATGTTTTGGTCAGCCGGTCTGCCACGCTGCCAGTGGCCTGCATGGCCTGCATGGCCAAACTGCAGTGTGGTGGGTTTGCCTATCTCCGCGGTGTACGCAGGGGAATACACAGGCCAAGCCTGTTTATCCGTGAGCCGGGCAAACCCGCACGGCGGCGAACAACACTCTGTATTGCCGTCTCGGCGGTGCTTCGCAGTGCTCGGCGGGTCGGTGAATGCGCGACAGGTGAATGGGTCCTCGCCGGCTCGAGCTAGAGAGACCCACAGAGCTTACGACGAGTCTCTCTAAGCTCCAGCGTTTTACGTATTCCGCGTGTTCCCAACGCGCTAGGACACTGCCATGGCAGTGCAGACCTGCAGTCCGGTAGTGCGGGCCAAGCGGTCAATTTCTGCGCGACAGAAAGGCCAATTTCACATTGTACACGCCGTACACACGCGAGGCCGAGCTTTCTCTTCCTGATGTCCCTCGTGTCCGACGCGTGTCCGACGCGCGTCCCCCCGGAAGCACCTCAACGTCTGAAAAGCAAAGCGGCATGGAGGCATGGGTCGAATGTCCGAGCGCGCGGAGCCCAGCGCCCCGCCGGCCCGCCGCGCATGCCCCATGCATGTAATGACCGCCGTCGGCAGCGAGTGCTTCGTCGCCCTGTCTCTCTCGCACTCCCGTGGGGGTGCTAGAGAGACAGGCGTCGAAAGCACGGTTCGGACTCGGCCCGCTGCCCGTTGGCCCTTCGATTCGGTTCGATCGCGGGGCGACATGGCTGGCTGGTCGCTGGGTCGTGCGGTGCGGTGCGCGGTTCACCCACTCGCTGTCCTGTCCAGCAGAATGAGGACGTGCAAGGTGAGCGCGCGCACCGCCTACATTTTGACGCACCGTGCACCATTTCGGACGCCATCGCCAGCACCAAATTCAGGCGCGTTGTGCCATGAACTTGCTTTCAACCGTTTTCCATAAAATAGATAATTAGATACTTTTGTAGAGCTCACGCACGCTTGTCCGCCGTTACCGCTACTCACGGCACAGGTCCATAGTCATTAGCGACACGAGCTCGTTCGCATTGACACCCATCAGCTGACCATTTTCACTTTTTGTCGAGGGGGTCCGGAGTGGTTGGCCGAGTTCGGGCAAGTTCGGGTCACCACGTGGATTGGCCCAGTCCGGTCGGGTCGGGCGGGACCCACCGGGCGATCCGGAGTCACCGGAGGAGAACCCGGAGGATGTCCGTGCATCCGACTCCGGCTCGCTCCCGGAACTCCCTTCATCGTGAGGACCGCGCGTCCTAGCCAAGGACTTCCCCGGCGAGACACACGCGAGGTGCTGGTGCACTGTTGGGAACGCGAGGGGGGGAGAGGGCGCGGCGTGCGTGTGGCGTGCGGGTCAACAACCAATCGGGACCGCGCCCTGGACGGACTCTGGGGAAGGAAACAATAAGACAATAGGCATCAATAGCCGGACTGATTACTGCTGTCTTTGGATGACGCCCCAGGCCATTCCGAGTCAAGACGGCACGGCGCCAGGCCACCTGCCGACGCCACTCAATAGAGAGTAGATACGCTCACTCACGATGAGTCTGGACCCTAGTGCGAGCATCGCACTGGTTGGCCACTTCCTTCTTATCATCTCCTTTAAACTCACGACGCTTTCTGTTCATTTTCAGGCGGCGGCCGCGGACAAGAGGACCTTCGAGATCGTACGGCTGGTCCAGAAGGACAAGCCCAAAGTGCTCGAGTTCCTGCGCAAGTTCTTCTACCATGACGAGCCCCTCAACACGGCGGTAAGTCGAAGCGCCGGCGCACTCAGCGCGCCTTTGCCGCCACCGAACGTGAACTTGAACCTCCGAGTCTCACTCCGCGCTGACGCTATGCTCCGCGTTCCGCAGATCGGACTCCGGCCGGACGTGCGCTGCCCGACGCTGGAGGAGTTCTCGCTGAGCACCTTCGACGAGGGCATCTCCGTGGGCGCCGTGGCGGGCGACGGCAGCCTGGTGGGCGTCTGCATCAACGCCACCCTGACGCGCGAGGAGGACGAGGAGAACCGCCGCGAGTGCGAGGAGGGCGCCGACGACGTGCCGGAGGACGTGAAGGCCCTGGAGGACCCGGACGCCAAGTTCGCGCAGATCAAGCGCATGCTGTCGCACGCCACGGCCCAGGGCGACGTGTTCGGCCACGGCCCGCCCGGCCTCGACCGCCTCTTCGACATCTTCATCCTGTCCGTGGACAGCTCCTGGAGGGGCAAGGGCATCGCCACCAAGCTGCTGGACGAGAGCAGGTAGGGCGCCCTCACCTGACAACGTTATGCTGCCACAACAAGGAGCAAAACGTAACAAAAACATTGGCCTTTTGCAGGGAGATCGCCCAGGCCGACGGACACCGCCTGATACGCATCGTGTGCTCGTCCTTCGTGTCGGCCCTCATCGCCTCGCGGATGGGCTACCGCTGCATCGCCAAGCTGGACTACAAGACGGTCCTCGACCGCAAGGGCCAGCGAATCTTCCCCACCGAGCCGCCCCACGACGCCGTCACCACCTACGTCCTGGACATTTGAGCGTGTGTGTGTGTGTGTGTGTGTGTGTGTGTGTGTGTGTGTGTGAGTGTGAGTGTGCGACTCGATCTCCGCCCGGTGACATGGGCATGACATTTATTGTTGTTGTTATTGTTTTGTGTAAGTCTGTACGTTCGTCTACGTCTAGTCCGCCGCGCACATTCGTCGCGGTCCTAGGAGAGACAGGGTAAACTGTAAAGTCGCTGGATAGTCAATTGTCACAGTGTGTGAAAGTACAAGTGTGAAAAAATCATGACGCCCTGTATCATGTGTACATATGCATTTACTTCCGTTCGTGGTGTTCACCGCGCTGCGTCGCGGACTCCATTGTAAATACGTTGTATGGTTGTGAATCATTAAACTAACCGAATGTTCCTACAAGTGTACCAAAGTGTACTCGGTCGGTTGCTTTGACTCGGTTGTTGCACCCCCTCCACCCATTGTCACCATCGCCGCAAACAATGGCACCAAGGCCCGCGCGGGTCCGCGTTGCCCGCGTTGCTGCAGTGGCCGTGCGAAGTGTGCGAAGGCCCGCCAGGCCCGCCAGGTCCACACGGTGCGCTGCACCACGCTGCACTCCGCCACCGTGAATGTGAGTTGGCTAGGGTCGGGGCTAGAGCACTGTAAATGTGGCTTTCGGCCCCCAAATCGTGATTATCTGTCGGGTCCCGCCAAAATAAGGGTTGATTTCGTCACAGCGCGTGGATAATTCGCATAACGAAGCGACGCTTCGCATGCTTTTACAGTGCGGGGCGCCAGGGCAGGCCTGGGGGCACTCGGGGCAGCGCATACAAATCGATGAGGGCCACCGCCGCTCTGCCGCGCTGCCCCGACATCCGATACCGCCATGCCGGCCGTCGGTGTGCAAACGGAGCGACGCGTCCAATGGGACCGGCCCCGAGAAATACGACCATTGATGACTGTGGGGAGCGTAAATATGTGCGTCCGGACGCGCACACTGGAAAACGTGTTTGCCGCCGAGTACTCGAACCCAAAAGCGCGAGGTCGACTATGACAGGACGCCCTAAGAGCGCCGCCCAGAAAGTCGTACGGCTCCTGGAAGAAGAAGTCGATGCTTGGCCGCCCCCTCCAGTTCCCCGTCATTTCTGGACCGGCCACTAGTGAGTAAATAGCCTGGTCAACCCGATAAGGCTTATCGCGGCTGTCGAGTCGCGAAGCGCTTCGCGTGGCAATGCGCGTCGCCAAGTCGACTTTGCTGGAGTCGCGCTGAAAGGCACTCCGGTTTATCTCGCGCCGATGGTCAAACAGTGTCTACTGTTGTCGGCCCCAGGCCGCGCACGCCGATGCAATCAAGGGTCCCTTCCGACTTGCCGTCATCAAGGCCACGAGCACTGACGGAAGGCGGGCACCCACGCGGCGCGCCCCACACCGCCCCACACCGCTCCGGCAGACCGAACACGTTTCGTCGCTTTCTCTCTCACATTGCAGCAGAACGCACCCTGAGAGAGAGAGAGAGAGAGACATGATGAGAGCGATCTGGGGAATCGGTCGAGGACGTCCGCCCTCATCGAGGCCCTCATCGAGGCCCTCATCGTGCTCGTCGGGCCGACGGCTTCCCCTGAGTGGACCCCTCCCCCTCGAATCCCCGTGCGTCCTTTGAGCTGGCCCTGTGTTTGACCAATTGGGTCTCGCGACGCTCCGCGCACCGCACCCCGCCAAACAAACAGCCTTCTTGTGGACGCGGCGTACGCACTGACGTCGGCCATCCCAGCGGGGCGGAACGGGCCGGGGTGGGGCGCGGCGGCCGCTGTGCCCCGACCCGACCCGACCGTCCCACCACATCGGCATGGACACTGTTTACTGCGGCAGACCGATTCCTCTCTCCCTTTCGAAAGGGCATCCCGTACGAGTGCGAGAGAGACAGACCAACGGTCTCATCGGCGGGCGCTCCCGCTCGCAGTCAACCCGCAGCACGCCCTCGCAAAGGGTGGGGCGGCGAGCACCGAGAGCAGGGCAAATAGCTCTTGACAGTTCGACTTCGACCCCAGCCCGGCAGGCCGAGGGGCCCAGCGCAGCAGTTCTCTCCGGCCACTGCAATAGGAATAGGACTCGCTGCAGCCGTGCAGCCCTGCAGACGCGGCGCGATCCGACTCATCATTTAGTGGTCCACTTGGCCACGCGGCGCGGCACGGCCGTCTAGAGTCTAGTCCCGCGCGGCCAAGCGGCCAAGCGGCGCAGCGTTCAGCGCCACAGCGGCGCGCAACAGATGCTCGCCGTCGACATGGAGCGCGCCGCCGTCAGCAAGTAGCCTCATCCTGACCCCTCCCCTCCTCGCCGGACGCGGGGACGCGCGGGCCTCGGCCTCGGCCAGCAGGGCCAGCAGCCGCAGTACACTGGCAGAGGCTGAGCGCTTGGCTCGGGGGAGTCGGGGGCTGCAGGCAGCGCAGGCAGCGCTGGCCAACTGATAAACTCGTCACCTCGTCCGACTTCCGGCCCTCGGCGTCGTCCCGGTTGCAGATTCCGGGGCGCTTCACCTCGCCATGGGCTGCGCCTTCTCCACGTCACGCGCCACCACGGGGCGCCGCCGAGTGCACGTCGACCAGGCCGTCGTCGCGGTGCCGCGGTGAGTACAGCGGAAAAGCCACCCCGAAAGGGTTGCCAGCCTCAGCCAGTATAATCCACGTTCTGCTCTCGTGAAGTTGCCTCGTGGAAAGTGGAAACGCTGAGGTGCAAAATTTTCAACCCTCACTCGTTTGCGGGAGTTTTCTGTCGACGCGCGCGCGCGCTCGCTTGCAAACTGAGCCCGCAGAATCCCTGCGTGTCACTCAGTGCCTGCTGCACGCGATGCACGCGACACGCCCAGGACGCCCAGGACGCCCGGCGCGCCGTAAAACCGCAATGAAATCACCTTTACTGCTCCAGGTGCGCCCCCGCCGAGGCCTGCGACGCGGTGGAGGACGCGAAGGACGCCGCGGAGGACGTCGCGACGCTGACGACGCTGCCGCCGGAGCTGCTGCTCCGCGTGCTGGCGCTGCTGGACGTGGCGTCCCTGTGCGCCGCCACGCGCTCCTGCAGGGCGCTGTGGCAGCTGGGCGCCGACGCCAGCCTCTGGCGCCGCATGTCGCTGACGGTGTGCTCGCGGCCCTGGCCGTCGCGGCCGCCCGCCGCCCTGCGCACCCTGCGGCTGTGCAGCTACCGCTGGCCGTCGTCGCGCCACGCCCGCCGCGAGATGGCCTGGCTGGCCGAGGGGCTGCGGCCCGCCAAGCCCGCCAAGCCCGAGCACTCCGCCCAGCCCGCCGTGCAGCGCCTGGAGCTGGTGGGCCGCCACCTGGACCGCGAGACGCTGCGCGCCTGCTTCGCCATGTGCTCGGGCGTGCGTGAGCTCAGCCTCCACGACGTGCACGTGCACGACGCGTGGATGGCCGAGCTGGCCAGCCTGAGCGAGCTGGAGGTGCTGCACCTCGACTGGCACGCGGTGAGCATCCCTTTCAACGCTCCGTCTCTCTCGCAATCCCGCGTGAGTGTGAGAGAGAGAGAGTCAGCGCGATGTCTGGCGGCCCCCTTTCAACGCTGCGCGCTGCTTGCAGGAAATGAGCTGCCAGCAGATGCTGCAGCTGGCCACCGTCTGCCCGTCGCTGCGCATCATCGACACGGCGGGGTGCCCGCAGGACTGCCACACTGGACGCGGCGGGCGCGGGCGCGTGCTGCAGGACGCCCTGCGGGTGCTGCGGGTCGACCTCGACGTGGCCTAGCAGGCCGAGTCCGCCTACTCCGCCGCGGCGTGACGTCACGTGATCTGTGACGTCGGATTAGACCTCCCTCCCGCATCCAAGCGATGCATACCGACGCCGACGGCCATGCCTCGACTCAAGGCAGGTGAGCGGCTGGCTTTGTTTACCAACAGTACCCTTCGGGAACACACTGGCAGAGTCCCTGTTGACGTTGCCAGGCGGACACGCCTATCGAAAGGATTTCCTCTGCTCTACATCTAGACCGGAGCGGCAGTGAGATAAGAAACGGAAGCCGGTGTCAAAACTATGAGAAATGTGTGTGACGGATGAGGCCAGAAGAGTCAACCCCCACGAGGGATCTACGATTGCTAGGCCACCAGTGCCAGGGATCTCCAATTGCCTCTCAGGGCCTCGTCGCTCTGTCTCTCTTGCACTCGAGGGTCGTCGCGTAAAGGCGTGAGAGAGACAGAGCGACGAAGACGAAGCCCGTTCGGAATCGGTCCGATCAGTCCGCCGGCGGCCCGGCCGTTGACCGAGAGGCCAACAACCGGCCTCTAGTGAGATTGGCCAGTCGACCAGCGGATGCTGCGCGACAAAACGACAGAGTCCGGCGTACAATCGTGAACCCCGCGCCCTGTTGCTCTAACGGTCTTTGTCCTTGTGCTGGAACTGCTTTTCTCAGTGAATTAATTAAAAATTGATTCCCCCAGGGCCGCCGGGATCAGTGTGCTGACTGCTGACCCACTTTGGACGCGTCGGTGACGCCACAGGCCGAGCCGGGCCGCCGGCAGAGACGTCGACGTCACAGCGTCGTCGTCGATCGCCGCCGCACCGTAAGGACGACGCCCCCTCGGCGCCCCAGTCTCTCTCCCTCTCTCTCGCACTCATGGCGCGGCCCGGAGGGTGCGAGAGAGACAGAAGCGCCGCGCAGCCCGCCGGCCGGTCCGCTTCATTGAGTCCGGCCCATTCCTCTCTCGTCCGCAGATACACCATGGGGAAAACCGGGCGACGGGTCCACCTCGCCAGCGGACGTCCATCAAGTCCCTGTTTTACGCATTGACAACGATGTTATTCTCTTATCTTGTGATATGGTTTGCTGTGTTCGTTAATTTTAAATAATAAAATGTCTATTTTTTTCTATGTTTATTTTTCTTTAAAACTCTTCACAATGACTTGTGGCGGTGGAAGGAGAGGGGGTTGCGGGGAGGGGAGGGGGCGGTGTCGCTGTGGCGCGTCAGTCCTGCTGCACCTTCTGGACGGTGATGCTCAGCTCGAGGATTCGGTTGCCGTCGGCGCCGTGCTGCTGCAGCGGCCTGGCGAAGTGCCTGGCGGACCACAGGCTGCGCAGGGCGTCCTCGGCAGGGTCCAGCCACGAGTGCGCGGGGCTGACGAGGAAGGCGACGCGCGTCGCGCCGCGCTCGGCGTTGTCGCGGTCCTCGACCACCTGCTGCACGCGGCACACGCCAGTGTGGTTGCTCGCCTGGCCGGCGCGAGCGGCGCGCAGCACGCACAGTGTAGGCCCGAAGCTCGGTCCACAGACCCGCTTAGATCCACACGACTCGGGACACTTTTTAAGCTCGAGTCCTCAAATCGGACGGGACCTCGAAGTCGAGGCTCAAAACGTGCCTGGAGTTGTGTTCGGCTTGAACGGGTTCCGACACTGTGCGGCCCGCTCTGTCGCCGCAGACTGACTTCGAGAGTCGTCGTCGAGAGTCCGCTACCACGCCCGAGACTCTCCGAATCAGTCTGCAGCCGTCAGTACTACCACTTGCAAAAGAAAGCGACCTCCCGGCCGGGCCCGGCGCTACCCCGCACTCAGATAGCTGCTGGAGATCCCATAGCCGCCTGGACGTGGGGTAGTGCCGGGCCCGGCCGGGAGGTCGCTTTCTTTTGCAAGTGGTAGTACCTGCATCTGGATGAGGTACATGTAGTTGGCGGCGCGCGTGCGCGACCCCAGCAGCCGCACCGCGGCCTGCAGCTTGCGCTTGGCGCCGGCGCGCCGCCGGAGCTGCAGGATGAACAGTTCGTCCAGGGCGTCCACCAGGCGCAGCAGCTCCAGCTCCTGCAGCCCAGGCCGTGGCAGTCATTCTCAACAAATGGACACCTTATCCAAGTTTCATGTTCTCCCCTCGGGCCCCTTACGGCGGCACGTAGGCAGTCCCGCCGACACGGCAGTGTGACGGGCCTGCCTACCCGCCGGGCGCCATGGCCCCTTGCAACGGCTGGTAGGCAGTCCCGTAACACCGCCGCGTCGGCGGGAGAGCACAGCCACAAGGGGCGCGGCCACGCCACCACAAAATTTCCGCGATGCCCCAGTGTCGAAAGGGTTGCCCGCCAGTCAACAGCAGGGCTTTGCTCTCGAGACCCGTCATCCAGAGACTTGGATCCGGGCCAGGTTACACTGGTTACACCGAGCCGGGCGCGGGCGGCGCACGCGTGGCGCTTGTCAGCCGCCAAGGCCTTGTCGGCGGCCTCCCCGTCCCCGGCAAGCAGGCCGACGGCACGCCGAGTCGGCACGACACTCGGTGCGATATCGCGGGGGCGTGCCGACAGTGCCGACGCGCCCCGCCGCCCCGCTCCAAGCGTCATGCAAACGTCATGCAGGCCGGCACCGCTTGGCGCTTCCTCGTGAGCAGCGCGTTTCGCAACGGCGATTAATTTCGCCACGATGCGGTGACGGGGGCGCGACCACGCCGACGGCGCTGACGGCGAGGCACCTGGTCGTCGATGAGGGGCACGACGAGCCGCAGGCCCGGCCCCGGCGTGATGATGCTGGCGTGGCGCTCCTTGGCGTGGCCCACCACCTCGTCCACGCCGCCCTGCCACGGGCACCCCTCCAGGAAGCAGGGCTGCGGCTGCGTCCGCTCCGGCACGGGGGCGGGCCGCGGCGACCCGGGGGTCGGCGTCAGACCCACCGCGGGGGCTTCAACACTGTCAAGGGTCTTGTTGGTGGTGGCTTTAAGCCCAGGTGGCGGCAGCAGAGCGATTCCGAACATAGTAGCTTCCATCGCTCTGCTGTCTCTCGTGGCTGTTTCCTTAAAGCTATCTTTTGTCTGGTTGATTCAGCCGGCTGCGGCACTGCTCGACGAGTACCTCCTCCTCCGGCGCGGACTCCTGCTCCTGGACTGCCCGCGCGAAGAGGAGGAGGCCCTGGACGAGGTTGGACTCTGACTGCGGCGATGGTGGCGCGGGTAGGAGCGCGTCGCCGCCGAGGTCACCGCCGCCGCGGCTTCGTAGTCCTGATAACAGTGGTGGTGGTGACATGACGGCACGGCGCGAAGGGGAGGCCCTGGGCCGAAGAGTGTGGCGCGTAGCGCGATGTCCCCGTCGTCCCCGTCCTACCGGCCGCGCGTACCCTGGCGGCCCTGGCGGCCCTGGCGCTGTCGCCGCGACGTTGTCGGCGAGCCTGGCGCACGCGCTGGCGCCTCTGTGCACGCTGCTGACCGCGGCGCCGCCTGCGTTCCTGGCGACGCCCACGCTGCCGGGCCCGGGGCTGGCGGTCGCGGCCGCGTCTTCGAGGGGAGGGGCGCGCTAGGGGTGCGTCGGGGACCTCGTCGGGGGTGGCGGCCTGGCTGCCCTCTCGATCCTCGTTGTCATCGGGGCTGGGTGCAGCAGCAGCGCTGGTCCAAGAGGGGGTGTCCATGCCGACGGCATGCTCCTCCTTCACCTGGAAAAGCGCGCCCCACGTCACGGCGCCGCGGCCCGCCTGCTCTGCTCGCTCTGCTGCAGGCTGCCTGCGTCGCCCCGTCTCTCTCGCACCCGTGCGGCACGCTCCACGAGTGCGAGAGAGACGAAAGCACTTTTCGGAAGCAGCCTGCTGCACCGTGCTGTACCGCGGAAGGCACTCGCCTGCACGCCGCCCACGTGGTCGTCGAGGCCCGGGGGCGCTGGAGGCGCTGGAGGCCTCCATGGAGGAGGCCGTATCAGTCCGGCCGTTCCGAGAAAACGTGCGTCGGGTTTCTTATCTTCTTCCTCGCTCTCCTCCTCCGCCTCCTCCTCCCCGTCTTCCAGCCCTCTCCCACTCATTTCGTTCCAGAAAGAGGCAGGCTGCTGCTGCCGTCCCTGCCGTCCTCGTCGCACTTGTTGCCCTGCCGCGTAACCATGCGGCCGCCCTCCCTGTTTCCGGCATTGTTCAAGACCCCGCACCCATCCACTTGAAACGTCTGACATGCTTTCAGAAGTCTCGTGCACTTTCAGAGACTCCTGAAAGCATGCTGAAAGACATTTTCCCGACATTAATGGTTCTCTTGAACATTTTGTGTCCCGCACGAGTTTGATAGAGAAAACGGAGCGTCGAAATGAATCCTCTCTGCTGCGAAGAAGGCAAAAAGCATTATCTCCTCTAACTTTCGGTCAGATAAAGCACAGGGCGGACGTGACGTAGGGCGGGACAGACGCCAGCCCGGTGTAGGTAGGCCACCACAAGGGAGATCAATTTTTATCAGAATACTGGCAATTTCAGAAACACTCTCGAGCTCCAAGTACCCTAGTATCTGCTCGCAAAGAGGAAAGAGACAGAGACAGAGAACGTGAAGACGACGCGTTAAAGTACATCCGTACTCGCTCTGCGGCCAGATTTGAAATGAGCGCCCCCAGCAGCTGACGTCACTGATCTTGAATTCCCTCCCCCCCCTCCCTTCTCTTCCTCTCTCCCGCCTGCCCGCCCGTCTCGGTCGCGAAAACAAGGAAAAGGGGAGAAGAAAATTTGGTGTTTTAATTGTGAATTTTCTGGTCTAGTGATAACTTTTCAGCGCAAGTCTCATTCAGAACACTATTTCGGGACTTGACGCAGTTCAAAATGGTTATCAGAGTTTATGTTTCTGGTATTTCGGGGAACAAGGAGGTGAGTTGTGTCATAGAAAGTTGGGAGGCATCATTGAATTTCAGACGATCCTCATTGGCTTATTATTGATATTTTTGTTTCAAAGTTTTTAATTAATCTAATTATAGTCGTAACTTTCTAGCATTTAGCACTTTGAATCACCTACCTTGCCCAGTTGTGGCATTTTTCTTAATGTTACTTATGGTGACGTCGAGGTTATGTCTCCGGTAGTGTCAAAGTAGAATTTTCCAAGACCCTCTCTAATCGTGAAAACATGCAACAAACCCGGAATTCATTTCTCAGTTAAATTTATGTGAACTTCGAGAGTCTCTTTTATTTTCATTTTAATTTATCTGCTTTTATATTACAGGTGAAGAAAAGGCAACAGAGAGTTCTCATGATTTTAGAAAGTAAAAATATACCTTGTGAAATCATTGACATCACTGAGCCGGGGAAGGAATCGGACAAGGAATTCATGCAACAAAACAGCAAACCAAGAGGCGACCAGAAGCATCCACTTCCTCCTCAGATCTTCAATGATGATGAGTACTGCGGGGTAAGTGCATGTTTCTTTTATATCTTGCAAAAACTAGTAAAAACTGAGGCTACAAAATTTTGCATTCTATTTTCTTATTACGCTTGAATTGTCAAGAAGCATAAGCTTATTTTTAAAAGCAACTCTGCTGTTTGAGATTTTATAAATCAGATTGAAGTTTGATTCAAAGTCCCAACCTCATATAAGATGTGTGCTACTGAAATCTGAATTAAAAGGGGTTTTAACAATGGATAAATTTCCTAAAAAAATTCATTTTTATCTGTAGTGTCTTTCATCAAATTTATGAGGGATGTTATTTTTGTCTCTACCATGCAGCCCATGTTTTAGGTGGGTGAAATTTTCAAATTGTATGGTGAGTTAATAGAAAATTGGAAGATGTAGTCATCCAACACCATTGATTAAATTTAAATTGTCCATTGCACGTAAGATTGGAGATGATCATCTCTTCTCACAGTTGGTTAGGCCACTAGTTCAAAATACAAATGTCACATCTACCCATCCTGACCACTTAATCACACAAAGCACTAATCAAAGATGAAGTGAACACCGATGATAGGTTATTCAATTGATTTTGCTTGACCCAATGTTATCTTTCTTCTTGACTGATGCGTTATATTGCTGTTTTTTTTGTTATGTTTTGTTTTTTCATTTGCATTTTTCCCTTGGTTATTTTATTTTAGATACCTGTGGTTGTCGTGGATCTGTGTTGATTTTCATAGTTACTTTTATTAACTTGCTAATCACGTCATTTTAACTCTAATTTGTGCCGGCTTTGGTACCGATGACTAAATGGGCATCCATGCATCCCCATTATAAGCATATGACTCCGGTATCCAAGCTATTCTGCTTGGGCTGTTGCTAACATTTTGTCAACTTAATCATCACCAAACTCCCAATAATTTTACTTGTTTTGCATTGCTCTAATACTAACTTGCATTGACAGGATTATGATGACTTCGACATGGCCAATGAATTATCGGAGCTTGAGGTCTTCCTAAAGGCGGAGAGTCATGGCAGCAAACCATCGATTGTCAGCAAAGATGGCTCTATGGGGGTCCTTGCTAATGCATAAACAATGTACTGATATATTCTAACTAGGAATGGCATCATATTTATATTTTAAATCATAATTTTTCATGTTTTCAAAAAAGCATTCTCTGTCATGCTTACAATAATTAACACACTAACAGTTACTTTAATGTAAAAACCCATTGTGAGACTGTACATTCCTATTGAATTGAGAATTATTTGATGTGACCCGTGGACAGGACTTTCTTGGTTTCGACCTTTCCAATGAAAATGAAAAGCTCTTGCCATTTCTGAAAATGGCTGTTCCTGAACCGTCACCACCTCCTCAACCCAAGGAAGAGTCGGATGACGAGAAGCAGACGGAACCTGAAGTTGAAGAGGAGGAGGAGGAGGAGGAGGAAGAGCCAACACCATCAAGACCTAGACCCAGGCCACCAGGAAAGGTTGCTACTCAAGATGATTCTAATGCAAACAAAGACGGAGATGATGAGGTATGATCAACATCGGTGTGAGAGTTGGTGTTGCTGTCTTTTCTGGCACTAATATCATTAATATATTCCGATGAGTGGTAAAACAATTTATTTGGTCATCTGGAAGGAAACTAAATTGTCCTTATCATGGTTTTTATTTTAATGTGGTGCTAGTTAAATGGATTTGTGTACTAATGCCGCCTATGGGTCATTGTAGGCATGGTTTTGTGTACAATATGAATGGAAAGTGCTTGTTTGTGGTATAAATTATAGAATGTTAATATCATGAGAAGTTGTATCAATGGGATGATAACAGGTGGTACCAAGTATTTTCGATTCAGATGACATGACCATGGTCATTCATTCACTTATAGAAGTATTATTGCATTACATTCCTCGCAAATTGTTGGCAAATGCTTCAGTACTGCATTATGTTATGGCTGCAAATTTTATTTGATGATAATTCAATCATCTTTACATTTTTTTATTATTTTTATTTGCTTTTTAAGTTTAATTTATGAATTCAGCTGAAGTTTTAAGAAAGTCTTATTTATTTATTTTTCATGACAATTAAATAAAGAACCTTAATGTTTTAATGAAGGTGCTTGTAGGTGCTTCAAAGATGAAGCATTTGAGGTCAGAAAGTAACAGGATTGATGTTAATACAAATTATTTGGGGCAGAACTTATTCAGAAACTACTTAAGTTACATTATGCAGATTAATCCTTTTTATTCTGTTTAAAATCCTATTATCCCAACATGCTTTGCTTTAAGTAATGGAATAATTATGTGTTTGCTTGGATTGATTTCTGCATGATCGTAACCTCTCTAGTCATTTTGCTCAATCAATTTATCCCCCTCCCTCTGAGAACATCAATACAGAAATCATCTTTTCCGAACTGTTTGTCTGATGTCTTTGGAGTGCGTATATTGTGTAGGGAGATCTTTGCCCATTATTGGTTTCTTATGCCTTTCATCCCTTTTCTATAATGTTGGCTGTTACCTAATACAAATTCTATTCTCATGGACTAAATCTGTGTATTTATGTAGCATCACTGTAGTATAAGTACCCTTTTTTTCTCCTTCATGAAATTCCCAACTATGGTGTGAGCATGAGCATGTAGTGTTCGTGTTCACAACTTTCTGTGTGTAAATTGTACCTGCTTTTGTATCCACAAACATCAATAAAATCCTGTTTGTAAGGTGTTGTTTTTTAATTGATTAACCTCCAATAACTAACTTGCAATGCTTTGTGCCAAATGCATGGTTTGAAGTATCATCAAAAATCATGCTTTGGTTGACAGTGATGTCATAGGTAAGAAGTACTTCAACTTATTTAAGTAAAGAGCAACACTATCAGCCTCTGAAAAATTTTCAATAGTAATTTATTTGTGGTCTTAATTTTTCCTTTCAGAATGCAAACAAAAATCAAGAAGAGGAGGAGTCAAGGTAAGATTGGCTTTAGGTCCAATTCTGAAGAAAATTAATTTGCTTCAAGCATTGCTTACTTTAATTCTCACTAAAATTGACTACTGAATCAAATGCTTACTGTAGATGTGCTTTACACTGACCTAAATTGCTTTGCTATTTTAACATATCTAGCAGTGGTGATGAGTCCACAGGCGGTCATGGGGATAAGGACTTTGAACGTGGATTTCTCAGCAAAAAGTCCAAGAAAATGCTTTATGAAGTTGGCTACAGTGAATTTGCTAAAGCAAAGGGTGATGATCGACAGTCGCCTCGCTCAAGTCCTGAGCTTTGGGATTGAAGCAGTCCTTTCTGGTTAGGTGTTTCAGCAATACCTGCACGTTATCATATGGTTTTCTTTTTCTATCGGCACTAACCCCAGCTTTCAGCTGTCAGCTTTCTAGAAAAGGCTATTTGATCTATAACAAACCTCACTACTAGATACAGCCTTTTTTTTTAACAAGTCAATGAAGTTTAGTTACCAGAACCTCTGATTTGCAGCGAGAACAATGAACACAGGAGGCAAGAAGAAAATGAGGAAGAGATGGTGGCTTCTGAAGATGATGTATGAGAGCATAACATTACTGTGGAGCTACCATTTAATTATTTCAAAATAGAGGGGAACATAAATTGCTTTGGTTTACCTTGCAGATGGGAATTCAAGAGAATAGAGAAACCCCAACAGATGAGCCTGTCTCTGGAAATGCAGAGGATGATGCTGCAGATGCCGAACAGGAGGAGAGTAAAAGAGATGAAGAAGACCACCAAGAGAATACAGACATGGAAGTGTCAGAGGAGTAATGTCAGCTGTGCAACTCAGGTTTTCTTGAAACTTAAAGCAACAACCAAAATGAGCAATGCAACAGATGTTTTCTTTGTTGCATTTCAACCTCTTTTACGAGACTCTTGCCAAAAATAATGAGCGAAATATGCATGTTGAAGAATCTCTATATCTTGTTTCGAGTTCCTTTCTTTCAATTTGTAATATAATTTTGCTTCATGAGTAATCTCTCTTCAATGCGCTTGAATATTGTGTGCTTCTTTACCACTATTGAACTGAATTTTGTTTTCTTCAGGACAGTGATTCTTTACACTTTTAATTTCAAAAGGAGTTAAAAGTTTGCTCTTGAAAACTTTGCTCTTTGTTTGTGTCTTAATAGTTTAATAAATTAATGCCAAGGCAAAACTCATCATCCAAAACTCAAGGAAGAATTCAAGCACCCTCAAAAAAGTCTGCTAGTGGCATTTTAATGTCTTCTCGGTAGGTGTACTATCATTCAAAAAGTAAATGACCCTGCCAATATCCAATGTGCTGATGTTCTCGCCATGAGGTTGGCAATGAGAGTTTCAAGCGCAGTGTGGCGATGGGTCAATAGTTTTCCACTAAAAGCTTAATTAAGCACAAAATACACAAGCTCAACATAGTTTAACATGAAATACACTAAAAAAATACTGAAAATATTTTATACTGTAGGAGACTGTGTTGGTTAGTATAATACATAAGAACATCTCTAGTTAAAGCATTTAAAAACAACCACATACACATAACCAATTAAAAGGAACACAGTAATGTTGTGATTAGCAAACAAGAATACAGACAATTCACTGCCCCTCTGAAGGTGACAGGATGCCTGTTGAACATGAGACATCACTTGGATTCATTCAAGAAATTCCTAGCAATACTATGAACTACTGTACAACCAAGTTACCTCAGATTGGTTTAAGTTCACCCCAATCTAAAATTCTACAAATTTCTAAGCATGCTTATAACAGGATCTAAGAAACAAAATGTTGCAAAATGTATTTTTCCCCTTTAAAAATAATTAAAATACAGTATTATAATTATTGTTGGCCAATAATAATTGTGCAAAATATTTGAGCATAGAGTACAGGAAAAATCGGCAAACACATCACGCATCAGCACTAGCTGCCCAATGAAGAAGAAATCTCAACACACAATAACTTGCACCGCCTAGAGAACTGGATCTGGTTTGGGCGCTATGGCAAACTTCGCCCTAGCGGCCAAACCAAAATGCCCCTCCACTAAATCGGGCCCAAAGGATCAGTCAAGAACATAGATCAAAAATAAATTATAACCAAAAAATACAACAACAAAGAGTTTCTTGAAGCAATTAACATGAATTGGATTGATTAGACAGTACAAAATATTGATAACCTAATCAGTTCCAAAGTACTTTTGTCCAAAATGATTCGGAGCAATAAAATGCAGTTCTGAAGTCAAAATTTTCATCTGCAAAATAATAATTTTAACAAATGTAATTATAAATTCCCTAATAGTAGAGCACTTATCACTCAAGACAGAGATGAAATTTTTTTAAACTGACCTGAGGAAAAGCAGCAGTAATAGAACGACACGCAACAGGAGTACAAAAAAGATTTGACAAAATTATATTTTCTTCTAAAACATTATGCTCTTTAAGCACAGCCACAGCCTTGATCACTGTGTTTCCTGTACCTGAAAAGTGATTCGATATAAAATGCTGCTAACATGAAAAGGCTCTAAAGTAGAAAAACAACTTACTCATAATTGGATACATCAATAAAACTTTGCGCTGAGCAATATCTTCAGGAAACCGAGCATATACAACACGAGCTTCATGAGTATCTGCATCAGATTCCACAAGAATTTTACCTATTCTTATTGAACGACAACAATCTCTCAAACCCTGTTGATTAAAGGGGGTAGATCATTTAAGATGAAATAATGATAATAGGGCATGAAATTGCACAGCAAAATAAAATAGAAATTACCTGTTCCATGGCTTCACCACTACGTACAATACTGACACCACAATTTCCACGTTGATATTTTAACCCTTGATAAATTTCATTTGTTGGTGTTGTTACAAAACATTTTGTGAATGGTAATTGGTTGAGGCTCTCTTCTATCACAAGTCGTATCTTTAAACAGGAAAGAAAACAAGGATTTGTTCAAAGATCTAATTACAGGAAATTGTTGAGGTAGCAATGGCAAACTACTTACTAGACGATCCGCATAGAACTTGAAATCACTACGTGTGGTGTTGCTGAGAAGAAAAGGTAGCTTTAAAATAACTAATTTTGTAAAATAGAAAGAGAAGTATAGTCAAAGATTTTAACGCACCGATCTCGAAGGATAGTCTGGAGCTCCTTCACCTGGTCATTGGATGGGAGCAGCTTAACATTCACACCAAACTCTTCTTTAATTTCCTGCCGTCGAGGACTTTCCGCCTTCATCATCACAGACAAATCATCTGCACTGCCCATGTTTCCAGGATAAATGGGACGTCTAGAAGTCTGCAAGCATCAAGTGACTCAAAAACAGACTAGTGACACCGCGGCATGTGCTACGTCGAGATCAGTGAGGTTATCGCTGCATGTGCTGTGCACGGCAGAAACTATTTCATAACAAACGGCAATTCAGCTTCAAAATTCAATTGTAACATAAAAGAGGTGATCAAAGTAGAGGGATCACGTTTGGGAAAGAAGACAGTCTTCTCACCAAATAAAAGAGGTTCTTGAATGAATGAGACGGCTTGTGTACAATGGCTTTCTGCTACGACTTCGGCTTGTTTTGGCTTTTCACTTTCAACAACAGCTGACTGCAGCGCGGAGTACCAGCGTCATATATTTTAAGAGTTCCGTTTATTTTCCTTTTGAACGCCTCAAACAAGTTTTATAAACGAAGTAACAGCCAGTATTGTACAATACTTGATTAACTTCCATCGTTGACTTTTACTTCAAAATTTAAATAAAAATAAAGTCACTAAAAATACTCATCTTCTAAATTTCTCATCTCTTGCGAGGTTGGTATGTTGGAGTCGTGCGTGCGACCAGTAATAGGTTATGTTTCCAATGATCAAATTGTCAACATTGTGACAGCCGACGTTTACATCGGAAATAAATTTTCTGATACCATCTCGTGTAGTATATAATGCCTCCGAAAAAGGGTGGTGACAAGGCCAAGGCCGGTGGCAAAGCGGGGAAGGATGACGACAAGGGTGCCGGCAAGGAGAAGAAAGGAGGCACTTCTGTCAAGGTTTGATTTTGCTCTTGGATGGATGGGCAGTGCGGTGCTTTATTGGCGGAAAGCCGCAGATAATCTAAAATCTGAAGTATTTATCTAAATGTGGCTTTTCAGGTTCGACATATTTTATGTGAGAAGCAGTCCAAAATTCTTGAAGCCATGGAAAAGCTCAAAGGAGGCATGAAGTTCCCAGAAGTTGCTACGGCGTACAGTGAAGACAAAGCAAGACAAGGCGTAAGTTATAATTTTTATTCCAATGAATGTATTTACCTGCTAGTGTATGGGGCACCGATTGTTGAATTTTAGATACTATGTAAATGGTTGCTCTTATTTTTGCAGGGAGATCTTGGCTGGCAAATACGAGGTGCTATGGTGGGCCCTTTCCAAGACGCTGCTTTTGCCTTACCCATTTCTACAGTCAACAACCCAGTCTACACGGATCCGCCAATTAAGACCAAGTTCGGATATCACATAATCATGGTTGAGGGTAAGAAGTAGACTCTAAATTAATTATACTGGGGAAAAAATGTTTGCAATCGATTAACTTTTTTAACTATGTATAGATTTGTATGAATCTATGGAATCTATTCCACATGAACTGAAATCACAAAATCTATTGTTGCCTGTTTCTTACATCAAAGATAATTAATTAAATGTACGGGAATTATAAATCTGTTGCTCTACATATGTTACCATTCCCACCAGCAAAGCACTGAACATATGTGTCATCAATGTATATAGTGATACACTACTCTACGGAAACAGAGGAAGGTACTTATTAAGAGCTTTGATATGAGGTCATGCATTCTCCTTTGGAATCAAACACTCCCTCAAAATTAATGAACAGTAATATTTTTAATGTAAATTAAATTGCACTTATCAAGGTATCAAGCCCCCTGCTGTGAAGCTCTTGCCTGATGCACTGTGGCCTGGCAGCATGGCAGCATGGCAGGGGAATCTGGAGTGAGGGAGGGAGGCCCCACCCTGGACTGGCATCTCCCCTACCTAATGACCATGTCACATACCAGGTTATCTCTGGCTTTTGTCCCTCTCTGCTCTCTGGCTATCTTGCTTCACCTTTTTTCTCTCTCTTCCAAAAGCTTTAGCTTTTCTTATCACTAAGAGGGTGCCTCTTTAAATTTTGTGAGTCTCTAAGTTTTGTTGTGTTAGTGGATATCAAACTGCATATTTTGCAATGCTTTTTGTGTTCAAATATTTCAAGTAGAGGCATTAAAAAAAAGAAGGAATGTTTTTGTTGATTTGGGAAATTTATTACAATACATAAAACTATCTGAACAAGCTAAGCAGTGGTGTTCAAACAAAAATGGCCTTTAAAAAATGCACTCGGTCATGGCCCGCAAATGACTGATGCCATTACACTCACCCACTGACAGTATAAGGCACCATTAGCTGTTGTCACCAAAGCTGATATATAGAGCAAAGTGCAGGGGGCCAAGTCCCCAGTGCAGGCCTGGCCACCAGCCACCATGCTGCTCCTACTGGTGCTGGCTGTGAGTGCACTAGCTGCACCCCCAGCTAACTCTCCACGGTCACCAAACCCTGCAAGATGTGCCCACCGTAAGTTTTTCTGCCAAGAAAAAAGCCATGGAAGAAATTTTGCAAGGCTGTGAGGACTGAACATTACACAATTACACCAACAGGTAAAATTCATGAGACCTTTAATGGGCATGGATACATGTTCACTTGGGAGGAACCAAAAACTGTGGGCCTTCAGCTTGGCTGGGCTGAAGCTCGTGAATTCTGTCGTGCACGATGCATGGATCTTGTGAGTTTGGAGACTCAAGATGAAAATGATTTTATTAAAGAACGGATAGCCAAAGGTAACATTTTGATTTCTGGTTTATAATCTAGTGCATAGTTTTTTCCCCCTAGAAACAATCATTTTGTTTTTTTGCTAGGAGGTCAAAGTTACATTTGGACTAGTGGTCGCAAGTGTAACTTTAAGGGATGTGAAAGACCAGATTTACAACCAGTCAGTGTGTATGGGTGGTTCTGGACAGGATCCTTGGTCAGAATGCCTGCAACAACGGATCGATTGGACAGTGACTGGAGTGACACTGGGGGGTGAGTTTCCTTCTTTTGTATAATATTTTAGTACCTCCAGCTATTTTTTTTAAAAAATTACTTGTGCATGCGCATCTAATTTATAATTCCTATCTCTGCTCAGTTTTGGAAGGCCACAGCCTGATGACAGAGAACATTACCAAGGTGGTCCAGAGGAAGAGTGCCTTGCAATTTTGAACAACCTGTATGATGATGGAGCTCACTGGCATGATGTGGCTTGTAAACATCGTATGCCATTTATCTGTGAAGACAGTGATGAGCTCCTACAAGTCCTGCAGCGCTCCATTGCAAATAGTTCCTACTTTGATCAACTTGCTGTTGAAAAGTTAGCTGTGTTTGATGATCAGACTCAAAAGCTCATCCCACCGTTTCCCACTGACATGCATCAAACGGTAATTTATTTTTAAATGGAGCGGGTAGTCTTGATTGTGTAAATAAGTTTTAACTGTAATTTTGTGTTTAGGAGGAATCTGGGCTAAGATCAGCTCAAGGCTCCTTGGTTCCTGCCAGTAGCGACGCTGTGGCCAATGCAATGCCATCTTTGATGGAAGAAAATGTCTCTGGTGCTTATGCACCTTTTGCACCTGTGGTGCCAGCTACTCAACACACCGTCATGATGGTTGCTCAGATGCCAGCAATTCCCATTGTTTCCCAAGATGGCAAGGAGGATCTAATTGATGATGAAAAGTTGAGGTTTGTGGACAGGGCTAAATCAAAATGAACAAACCAGAAGATTTTAGAGGCCCTTTTGAGACAATGTAACAAAGCAATTGACATAAACCTGTAATTTAATCCGGTGCTCTTGGTCCCTGATTTAACTTTTTCTTTTCTTTCTTAAAATAAATAAATAAACTTGCTACAAACTGGTTGCTTTGTTGAAGTGAAAGAAAGATATAACCATAAAACTAATATTTTCAGTATAAATTAATTTTATTTATTAACATTTTTACATATGAAAATAGCTTATCCTTAATTAAATATCACTGCTTAAGCAAATTCATGACTGACAGTGTAATTGACCATTTGACCAAACAATCAAACACCAATGTTGGGATTTGTGAAGCGCACATAGTTGATCAGAGACTCGCTCTCTTCGCATACCCAAGGCTTCTTGTGGTGGCAAGCAACGTCATGCCAGTGGACTCCATCCTTGTAGAAGTTGTTCAGGATGGCCAAGCAGTTCTCAGGGGCACCACCCTGGATGAGTTCACGGTTGTCAGGCTGAGGCTTGTTGATTCTGGACAGAAAAAAATAAATTATAGAACAATGTGATGATCTTTCTACTTGATGTTGTTTTTTTGCAAAACAGTGCAAAAAAACTCACCCGCCGGAGTATCCCCAATCGTTCTGGGTGCGGTCTGTGGTAGGGGCGAGTTTCTTGAGTTCAGCAGTCCAGAACCAACCGTTAATGTTGAGGGGCTTCAGGTCGGGGCGCTCATCACATCCCTTGAAGTCGCACAGACGGCCACTGGTCCAGATGTACCTCACCTTGTCTGAAAGTTGGATTCAGAATTACTTTCAGTGTTACTCAATGTGTACTTTTTCCAATAAGTCTCTCAGCTCACTTTTAGAAAATTCCATAAAGAAATAATTTAATACGTATTAACTTTTCAAAATAATGTAGATCTTACCATCAACAAGCTTCTTCTTGATGTACTCGTTCTCAACAGCACTTTCAGTAGAGACAGAGTCCATGCAGCGCTGACGGCACCAGTTGCGGATGCCCAACCAGTCCATTTCAGTGTTGGCGGTGGAGGCATCCTTCCAGGAGAAGTAGTAACCCTTGCCGTTGAACTTCTCGTGAATCTTTCCTGATAAAGAAAAACACCACATATTTCAAACAGCTGGCCTTTCATCCATCTGATAAACTATGAACCGCTTAACATAAGGGAAATGGAATTCAAAATTATGATTTGCAAATATATTGACTCTAAATAGACCCCCCCCCCTCATTTTAAAAAGCATGTAGCAAACATGACATGACTTTTTGGTGGTGAATTGGGCGGCACTGTACACTGTACTCACTCTGGGCACACAGGGAGGGCACTGGGGGCTCCAGAATGCGGCCTGCGGGCTGGGGCTGGAACTGGCCAGCTGCCAGTGTGGCCACGCAGGCCACGACGGCAAGGGATAACACGGCCCGCAGCATCGTTACTAGACTCGTCACCTACACACACAAAGCACACACACTTGTCACAAACAGCGTTCGGCCCAGAGCGGGCGGCAGGTCTGGGGAATGCCCCACCCCCTCCCCCTTCTTGCGGACTGTCCCCCCGATACTCACAGAGCGGCGCACCCTCCGGAACTGCATCAGTCCTCGCCTCCCGTCAGCGTTTTATACGTCGGTTGGGTGTTTACAGCCCATTGCTTCATTCCAACCCTACCACCAAACTTTCCAGACTCAGCGACCTTGGAGAAAGCGGAGGGCGGAGCGGGAGCAGAGGGGTGGGCAGGCGGGGTGCCCGGCAGCCTACGGCAGCCCGGCCCGGCTACCGGCTTGTGCCTCGAAGTGCCGTGCCCCCAGACCCCAGACGCCTCCAGCCGATCCCAGCCTCGGCACAGCTATTACGCCTATACGCCGCTCGCGGTGTTGACCGTGTTGGCTCTGAGCTCTGGGGAAGCGATTAGCAGAGCCCAGCTAAACCCACCCAAAGAAGTTCAATGGCCCTCTCCAGGAAAAGAAATAAACGCTACAAGAGGCGGGCCCTGTTACGATGCACGAGAGCTTCTATCATGGAAATCTCAGAGTATTACTCGATACAATTATGAAAGATAAGAAACAATTTTTTGGAGGGATGGGGGTGGGGTTGTTGCAATTTTCAAATCACGCGCCATGTTTATGCTTCCCGTAAATCTCTTGGCTGGGGTAAATTTGGTTTCTGTAGGGGATAAACCAATCGCAATCATTTACTTTAAATTTCTAATCTGATTGCGCGCATATTAAAAAGCCAGAAATTTCATCGAAATATTTTCCGCTTTTCCACAAAATCTGGCAACACTGCGTCGACGCAACGGCCGCCGCCGCGCCGCGCCGCTGTTGCTGGAAAACAAAAACAAAAGAGGCAATCAAAGAAAAGCACAAACAAAGTTTGGTTTTGTTTATTAAAGTAAAGCTTGCTTAATAGCAATGATATCTTTCATTGAAATACTTTCAGACTTGCTTTAACGATTCGGCGTGTTGATTTTTCTGGTGCTATGCTCTTAATTGTTCGAGCTGCATAAATGGATAGCACGGAGCTTTGTCGTTTATGTGCCACAGAAAAGGATACTTTTGTCGACGGATTTGTTAGAATTTACAGCGATGAAGGTCAGAAATTTGGCTTGGAGAAGAAGATCATTAGATGTCTTCAAATCGAGGTGAGATTCGCGTCCTTCTACACTGTAAACTTTGTGGTTACTGCGGCCACACACGCCAATGCTTAACCTAGGTCAATGCCAGTGTTTATACAGTGGCCATAGAGCCGCTTTTGACCTACGTTATGAAGGCATGCTTGAGCTTCTCTTCGTGATAGTCGTTTTAGTTCCTTAATTTGTGTATTGTCGGTTGATCTATTGATTGTAGGATAATTTTCCTCGTGGCCTGTTTCTTCACCCTCAAATTCATATCTATATTTAGTTCTAGTATTACATCCCTCAAGCTGTGACTTAAGGGCTACTTTTTACCACATTCTTTGCACATTCTGTTCAAATTTGCATCATCTCATTCTATTTTATTTTTACAGCTTTGCTCTGCCGACACACTTCCCAAATCTGTTTGTCTTGAATGCTGTAGTAAGTTACATCAATGTGCTGATTTTGTGGAGAGTAGTGCCAGAGCTCAAGCTCGTTTAAAAATAATGGTAGAGCATACTTTAAAATCCACTATTTCTAATGATTCGGATGCTAAAGAAAATGCTAAGACTGAGGCTTCTGATGCACAAGAACAAGTGAGTATAAATTCCGTACTAATTTCTTTTGATTCCTTCTTCGAGCATATTCTCAGATTCATTGCTTCTGTGCAGATTGATGAAGATAAAGATGATGATCCATCCAAGTATTTAGAGTGTGTAGTCAATGAAGACAGCTCAAGATCTGCACCCTCACCTGTAGCATCTCCCCTACCAGAACCAGTTTTAACTGAGCCTTCTCACACAGAACCCTCTCAAACTGGATCCCCTCCTAAAGATCAAGGTGAGATACATGTTCTTTCTTCAATTTTCCACCATCAAAGAATTTTGTCTCATCTTTCTCTCCCCCCTCCTCCAGACGTTTCTTCTGAGCTACCACGGTCACGTGCATCAAAAAGAAAATGTAGACTTCCAGTAAGAGTAAGCAGAGTGTGTTTGGAGGACCTTGACAACGTAGACTTAGATGCTGCTGAAATTTCAAAAATATTTGCTGATGATGATTCAGATGAAGAAGAAACTCGGCGTAAACGAAAAAGTCGTAAAAAACGCATTGCTTCAAAAGCGAGCAAAAAAAAATCTTCCAAGCATAAGTCTAAAAAACCTGACAAAATTGATTGTGATGAAAATGTCAATAATTCTGGTAAAAATGGGATTGAGAAACCTCATTTACAGGAGAGTGAGAATGGATCAAAGAGTGAGGAAGAGGGTGATGTTGATGAGGATGGTGATCATTTTGATGAAAATGGCATGGAAGATGATGAAGAAGAGGAAGAAGAGTGCGATTTGGGTAGCATGAAATCTAAAGCTAAAGGGAAGACTAGGAGCAGAAAAAGAGCTGTTGAAATTGATTTGACTGATTACTCTTGGATGTGTTGTGATTGCCCTGAGGAAATGAGTACTATTGATGACTTGAGAACTCACCATTCTGAAGTTCATAAGCAAGTGCCTAAGTATATGTGTGCTGAGTGCTCTAAAGTATTCACCCACTACATGGGATTCCTCTCACATTATAGACGTCATCTCGAAAATGACAGATATTGGTATGTATACCTGCCTGAGTATCTTTCTCTTTTTTTTCAACAATTTTGAAGGTAACTCCTCTTTTCTTTTCAGCACATGTGAAACATGTGGTAAGTGTTTTTCAAACAAGAAGGCATTGGATTCACATAGGATTATTCACTCTGATAAAAGGCCACATGTTTGTAACACTTGTGGAAAAGCATTTAGGCAGCAAAGTGCTTTGTATGTCCACTCACGTTGCCATTTGCCTGATGAACTTAAAAATAAATATGCCTGTGATGAGTGTGACAAAAGGTACAGTGTAATTGTAAAATTGATGGCTTCTGCTTTTCAATTGTTTGTGCAAATTATTTACTTCATTAAAAATATTTTTATAGATTTTCCACAAAGCCAAATCTTGTGACTCACAAGCGTATCCACACTGGCATTCGAAACTACACTTGTGATCAATGTGGAAAGTCCTTTGTTCAGAAAGGGAATCTTGATGCGCATCTTCTTACACACACCACTGCTAAGCCATTTGCTTGTCAAGTGTGTGATAAAAGGTGTGTAAAACATTCGGTAATTCATAATTTTCTTTACTTGTATGTGAAATCTTTTTAAAATTGGTGTCTGAACATGATTTCAGTTTTAAGACTGAACTTCAACTGCGTAAGCATGGAAGTGTTCATACTGGTGTCAAACCCCATCAATGTGACATATGTGGCCGACAATTCAGAGAAAGAGGAACTTTAAGGGAACATCACCGAATCCATACTGGTGCAATGCCTTTTTCATGCGAGTTTTGTGGAAAGTCTTTCCGATTCAAGGGTGTTCTTACTGTAAGTTTTCATCTAGAACTAAATAGATTTCCTACTTCCCAGCAATGATCTAACTCTCTTCAAAATTTATTTCAGACCCACAGACGTCAGCACACTGGAGAGAGGCCATATTCGTGTGTTGAATGCCAGCACCATTTCACAAACTGGCCGAATTACAACAAACATATGAAGAGACGACATGGCATTAATACCAGTCGTCAAACACGAATACCTTCAACAGATAATAGCTCCAACCAACCTGTTGTTGAAAGTATGCCTAACTCCTTACCACCTCAAGCTCCAAGTCAGCAAACAGAGACGGACCCACTGGCACATCCTATGCAGCTTACACATCAACAGGAGCAGCCTCCTGTATCTCATGAGCCGAGCCACCAGGAGCATCAGGTTCCTCTCGGTCCGAGCTCTACTCCTTTACCTACAGTTTGTGATCCCCAACTACAGCCTACTGCTTTGATTCAAAAGCCTAGTATGGAAACCCACCAACCTCAGCATTTGTACCATCATGAAAGCACTCTAAGTCAACATTCACTCCAATCCCATGAGGATGATTCCATGTCATCTCATCATGAGGTAAGTCTAGAAGATTGCCTTTCAATTGAACGAACTCGTACCTACCCAATTGCACCAGTCCTTCTAACTAGACCATTTTCAACTTGTTTGCAGTTGTACCAACCAGTCCACACGGTGCATTCACCCCTCTCTGCTCACTCTGCCCATGCCGTGCGGCAGACCATAAATCTATCAAGCCATTTGGGTCATGCAGGTCATCCAAGCCACTTGCATCTAGGTCATGATGAGAATGAGGAGTCAAAATATGCAACCGAGAGAGAGGTGTGTATTCAATGTGTTCTCTGACTTCTTAACCTTAATATGGCTGCCTCTTCGAAGTTATTTTAATTACTTATTTCAGATCTTGCTTGGTCAAATGGTACGGGACCGGGATCGTCCACATTTCTACAATCCAGCGCCAGGATCTTCAGTCAACACCAACCCATATCTTCATCAATCTTTGCATCAGTCTTTGCATCATTCTTTACAACAAACGCAACTGCCTTTATCTGGGTTATATGCCATACCCCAGCTGTCAATAGATCCCTCTCACTTAGAGATTCTTCATTCGTCTGCGTCACAACATAGATGATTGTTCTCGTTGTTAATCCGTCTATACCCTAAACATCTCATTCTTTTAATTGCAAACTAGTATATGTTTGGTATTCACTTTTACCATAAATTGTATTTTTTGAAAGACTTATGAACAGTCATGCTGCTCTAAACAAACAAGTTTTGAAATTCTGTATCTTTGTTCTCCTACGCTAAATTTACTGCAACGTATAGTTGATTAAATATTGAGTACTGTATTGTGATGAACTCTCCACCAAAATTCTTCCTGGAAGATATATGTTTTTTTATTGTGGATGAAAAATTATGTGATGTTCATATTTTTATGTTAGCCCAGTTTCTTTTGTTTGTTATAGTTTTGTAAATATGTACTTCAAATTATTGTAAAGTGCCTGAGGTAAAAACACTCCTTAGCAGAAACAATGAAATTTTTTTATTGGTCAGTGTAGGAGGTCTGTTGGACAGCAATTCTTCAAGGAAAGTGTTGGGCCTTTTTTGTGATATTTCTGATTAGAATTTACATTTTTAGACAACAATTGTCAAAAACGATAGTGTAGTGTGCTCAATTATCTTAATAAATTGATGACTAACACTGATTGTCATTAGACCCACCCTTTTGACTGCATGTGTCCTGGGTCTTTTGTAAGCTCTGTGAAAGTAAAGATGCAGGTGCCATTTTGAAATTTCTAGGAAATGTGGCCGACATAGGTGTTGGTTACTTGTGGACCGCCCAACTCGATCTTGTTTCATTGTGTCTGAAGTGGTCTTCCTTTTTATTTTAATATCACTTTTTCTCATTATTTTGTTCCCCATTCTTAGGTGTGACTTGGTCTGAACCTTCTTTGTATATGCCATGATGTAGATAATTCACAGGTAATCCCTAACTCTGGTATACATGCTTTACATTCGTGTATGTATTGTTTTATGTGCCATACAGCTCCTTTCAGTAGTACTGCTCGATTATTCTATTGAAAGATGTTACCTTTGCTTCTTAGTAATTTGGAGCACAAAGTGTTTATTTGTTAAGCTGGTTTTAATATGTTCCTCTGCCTCCCAGTGTTTAATGTCTGCCATAATTGACTTATTGGTAAAGTTGCTATCTCACCATGAAATGTAAGTAGTAATAATTACAATTATAATTGTGTCTCCAGGTCGCTTAGTTTATTGTTTGGTTCAATTTTCATCTCTGTTGAAAAGACATTAGAGTAAGAAAAAGGCTCATGTGTGTTTATCTTTCCATGGAGGGCATGACATCTATTTTGGTCCCAAGTGTCTGAATATAGTATTCTTGCTAAATTTATTGTCATCATATGAAATCATTCCATTAATGTGTGATCATTAGGTTAAATCAATTTGGTGGTTACTCCACACTTTATGTTTCCTAAAATTGAATTTTTCATGACATGATATTTCTTTTACTGTTCCCATTGTAAACAGTACATACTTTGATGTCATGTTACCTATTGTAAAATTAAGTGCCATTTTCCTATGTGGAATCCTGATCTCTCATGAGACTACTGCCCACTCGAATGTAGAAAATCTGTTATTTTTTATGCTGTGTGTAACTTAAGATGCCAAGCATCATTGATATTTATACATTTTAAGTTCTTGTTTTTAAATGGATGAGGCTGCAAGTGCCCTGCGGAACACTGGGTCGTGTTGCTTCTGCCAAGGGCGTTGTGATGCGCGCATCCACGTCGCGCCTCACGTGCAGTGAGCACCCCGAAGCCTCGGTGATGTAGTATCAATGAATATTTGTGGGCCGTCTTTTTGTTTTCTTTGATTGTACCCTTTAGAGATCTCATTTTGCCTTGTTTTATGTAAGAGAAATTAGCAGTTGTTAGTGAGTAGAAACCTCCAGTTCAAAAATCATGTAGATTTACCCTAAGGTCTTCCCTCTTATGTAAAGACGAGAGCTGTGTCCCTTTTATAAAAGGCTCTGTAGTGACAATACTTATAGTGAGAAAGTGTGTGATTCCTCAATTATTTTAAAACTCAATCAATTTCCTCTTTTTTTTCCTTTCTGTTATTAGAATTTGAAGTGTTTCTCATTGACTCAGGACAAAGCAACTACCGTTGCAATAAATTTGTGAATTCAGTTGAATTACTCATTTTTTCCACCTTCCCAGTAGTGTTTGTTCGTTTGTTTAAATTTGTTGTCCAATAAACAATATCACCACAAAAAAGCTGCTTCATTTTTCACCTATACTTGGGGGGCGCATCGTGGGGAACGAATAAGGTTGGTGAATGGCGGCGGGGCGAGTCATGTCGCCGTGGATCCAAGGTCAACGAAAGGGAGTCCAGCACGTCTCGTCTCGTCTCCGCCGTCTCTGCCCCGTCTCCGCGGTCTCTGCGTGCAGCCGGAAGCGACAGCTAGACCTCTGGGCACTGCGGCCCGATTCCGAGAATCGTTCTCGTCACTCTGTCCCTCTCGCACCTATACGGGCCCCCCCGTGAGAGCGAGAGAGACAGCGACGATACGAATTTTCGGAGTGGCTCGGTCGGCTGGCCCGCGTCACGAGCACCCGGACGATGCTCGGCCAAACACTCGGCAGGCGAATCGGTTCCCTAGTGTTGAAGTGTTCTGGGCGTAGATGATGCCCGGGGGTCCCGTTGGGTGGGGCGCTTCGCCCGGACCCATGCCCCGGACGCGGCTCCCGGCAAGGCTGGCAAGGCCCCACAGTGGCTCCGCGGCGCGCTCGGGCCTCCAGGGTGCAGCGTGGTCCAGCGCCTCCAGCGAGTCGCATTCCGTGGCCACTGATAAGGCCCCTTCGAGAAGCCGCCATTTGCGGAACACGGGACACGCATGTGGGGCGGATGGTGACCGTGCACACATGAACTGCGTTTCGTTCAGGGTGGTCATGCAACTACGAAAACCCGTTTCGCGACTGCCCGTGGGGCGGGGTGCGCACTGACGGGGAAGTCCCAACCGCCACCCGCCGGCGGAGCCCCGCCCCCAAACATTCTGCCCCTGTGACGCGACGACGCGACCCGGCACCGCACCGTGCACACGCATGCGGTCAAGTGAAAGTCCGAGCACGCCGCGCCCGAGTTACGTCAAAAGCACGCGGGGCATCGGGACGGTGTGAAGCAGGAAATAAACAACGTGCTAGAAAAACAAAACACGTCTTTGGAGACTTTAATGTACACGACAAACGACACAATAAATTAGTGAGACGGGCTTTGGTGTGGCCGTGCGCGATGGCTACGCGATGCACACGAGGGTGTGTCCCCGGTAGATGCGCTCCTGCACCTTGTCGCTGCGCGCCGCGCGGTCTGCCGGGGCGGAGAGCACCGCGACGACCAGGGTGAGCAGCGCGCCCGCCACAGCGCTGTACGACGCCCAGCCTGCAACAGAAAAAGCCTCGTGAGTACGCTTCGCCGTGCGGAGTCCTTCTCCGGCCATTCCCGGCAGCTTCTCCTTGTCCTTGTCCTTACCCAGCGAGCACGAGTCAAGGTAGAACGGGGAGGCATCCGGGCCGCACAGCCTCTGCACGCGCTCGGCGCCCCAGCCGCCGGCGTACAGGGACAGCCCCAGCAAGTACAGCACGCCGGCGCCGGCCTGCGCCGCGCCGCACACACCGAGGATGCTCTTGCCGCAGACGGCGTGCACGCAGCACGCCAGCAGCCCCGCCACCGCGGCCAGCGTCGCCAGCGCCGCGCCCGCGCCCAGGAACGTGAGGGCGGCGATCCACAGCCCCGGCGACACCCCCGCGGGCAGCGGGCCGCAGTGCGCGCGCGCGCCGCTGGCGACCACCGTCAGGGGGCTGGTCGATGAGGTGGTCGGCGTGCTGGCCGTGGTGGCCGTGCTCGTGGACGTCTTGGAGGCGGCCAGGGTCATGCGCCGGCAGCGCATCGACAGCCCCAGGGAGTCGGCTCCGCCATCACCTGCACACCGCAATCACAAATAAATACACGCCATTTACATGGCGGTCGTGGAAACGCACAGGTTGCACAACGACCGGCCCTCTGGCGGTAGATTCTAGATTCCGCGCGGATACGACAATAGCGCTCGGCCCCGCTCGGCGCGCGACGCCAACTTTTCCACGCGCCTGTTCGGCCTATTCCAAATCGCGGATTCGAATGTATCGCGGCTCTAATCGGCCGGCCGAGTGGGTCGAGAGGCCGAGAGCGGACGGCTCCGTTAGACGGTAAGGAACGAACGGCCTCAACCACACGGCCGGCACGGCAACGGAACGGGCCGGCGGCTCGTCGCGCACCTGCCACAAGTGTGGCGGTTATGTAACATTCAGCACACCGTTTCGTCTTTCCATCTCTCTCGCACCGAAACGGGACGCCCCGTGGGTGCGAGAGAGCCAGAGCGACGAAACGCCGTCCGGCTGAATGGCGAGGGTGGGCCAGGACGGGCCAGGAAGCTTACCGGGCGGCGCGACGATCCAGCGCGGGGACACGAGCGCGCCGAGGACGGCCATGAGCGCCACCAGGGACAGCAGCAGCCACGCCAGGGAGCGCGCCGTCACGATCACGTGGCCCATCCTCCTGGAGTCCCTGGAGTCCCTGGAGGCGTCCCTGCAGTCCGGCGGGGCGGCGGGCTACATGGTGCAGGCCGTGGGCGCGGGGCCGCGGCGGGGGCGAGTCCGGAGCCCTTAGGGAAGTCCAAGTCCGGCGCCGTCCCTGCAGCGACCGCGTGCCTCGCTGCGGACACAGAAAAGCGATTATGGTATAAACTGTTTCCAGAGGACTGAAGTAAAGCCCTGCCCCCTCCCAAAAAAAACAGCACAAGAAAAAACAATAACTATTTTCAAGTTTCTTTTTAGACACATGTGGTCAGTGCTACAGTACTGCATTCCTACTAATCCGGCACGAAACTGTTTGTTTGCGCAGTGTGCATGTGTGTGTGTGTGAAACGGGAGGGGAAGGGAGGGAACGTTCTTATTTTTTGAGACCACCGTGCTGCGCGGATAAACACACGCACGCGTGTCATTTGGTTGGACCAACTGGACCGCGCTTCGAGTCAGAAAGTGGGGGAAAGGGAAGGCGCTGCTTCGACGGGCTTTTATGACCTGGACGCCGACCGGGCGACCCCGCGCGATCTAGAGCGCTTAGTGGAGTGGTGGCCCGGCAGGCCGGGGCAGGCCGGGGCAGCACGCGAAGCATTAGGGCCCCACGGCACGGCACGGCACGGCACGGCACGCAAGCCAGCCACGCCCGTGGCAGCGTAGCGTGACGGGGGTGCAGTGCCTTGTGCCGCAGGGTCCGGGGAGGGGAGGGGAGGGAGGGAGGGAGGAGGGGAGGGGAGGGAGGGGAGGGGAGGGAGGGGAGGGGCAGGCCGAGGGGCGGCCGGCACGACGCCGCACGACGCGACGTGCGAGGGGTTCGTGGTGGCGCCAGCAAGCGCCAGCTAGCGCCGGCGAGGGTGGCGGCGGAGCGGCGGGCAGGGCGGGCAGGCCTTCCCTCCCCCAGACGCCACCGCGGCGCCGCGCCGCGCCACTGGGGCTGCAATGCCGAAAACGAGGCAGCAAAGCACAAACGGCAAATGGGCGACGCGCCGACCGGGTCGCGTCAGGAGTGCAAAGCGGTGGCTGGCGGTGGCCACCTCCGGGCTGCTTCCGAAGGGACCTGTCTCTCTCGCAGCTTCTCTCTCTCTCCGTCGACGGCGACGACAGCTCTGTTCGGAATCAAACTGCTGGCGGTCCGGCCGCGGCCGCTCGTGGGGGCACACATGTGGGTCCGCTTATGCGCGATGCTCTCTTTTCATTTCTTCGACATTCGAGTCGGCTCGGGGGCACAAAGGGAGGGGGAGGGACAGGAAACAGCAACGCGCAGCAACGCCCAACGCTGAAAGGCAACGAGTTGGACCGAGCTTCTGGCTAGACGGCCTGGCCTGTCCGCACCGCTTGTTCCGAGTCCGTCCCGAGTTTGCACAGTTACCGCTGCAGCTAGTGCAGTACATGCATTCCGCGTCACTGGCGTTGCGCGCTGCGCGCTGCGGCGGGCTTACCTCGTGTCCACGAAGCCTTTCCTGTCCTGTCGGCACGACGTACGCCCTGCAGCCCACGCTGCAGCGCTGTGCTGCCGCCGTCGCTCTTGCCGGCTCGGCCGCCACTACAGTACTAACAAATCCCGATGCGTGCGGGCCGTGCGGGCCGGGCCTCGCTGAGGACCTCCCCGAGGGCGTCGCCGTCCTCCCCCGCCGAGCTCGCCTTGCCGCTCTCCGAGCGCGCTGCGCGCCTATCGTCTGTCGTCGCTTGTTGCGGGGCGACGCGCCGCGACGCACTGGGAGAGGGAGAGGCGTCGGCGTCGTGGACGTGCCGTCGCTGCGCCGCCACGCCGCCACAGTGTCGCGGCTCAGTGCCCCCGCCGCACCCCTCGCCGGCCAAGCCCGGCGTCGCCCGCGTCGCCCCACCTGGCCCCGCCCCGCCCCCCGCCGGCCCGACGTGAGCCCTTGGTCTGGTCGGCCCGGACGGCCCGGCCCGGACACCAGGCAGTGGCATCGGAAATTACAGCCATAGCGCGCCGCCGTACTGCCGCGTTGAATGAGTGAGAGTGAGTGAGTGAGTGTTAGTGGGGTGGCGCGGCCAGGCGCGGCGCGGTTCTATAATAGGCACTGACATGTCAGCGGCGAGGCAGCGCTCCGTGCGCTGTGCGCTCCATGCCGACCGGCGGCCCGGCGGCCCTTCACTCGGCCGCCCGTGCCGCGCAGCGGGCAGTGCCGGCCATGCCGGGGAGAGGGGAGGGGTGAATCATCGCGGTCACAGTCGTGCGGCTGCAAAGGGGTACAAAACAACGACCGCCGGGCCGGGCCCCCGTGCCCAATCGCTGGTGGGCGAAATTCGCGCGCATTTGAGACTGCCCGTCAGAACGACGCTGGCTGTCACGCCGCTTGCGTCTCTGCCGCGCGCGTTGACACCCCCTCTGTTCTTTTCGTTTTGCGAAGCGAGGCAATTTTAACTGACGTCTCCATCCATGAGCAATGCCGCTCACGTCCAGCGTCTCGGCTCCGGCGTGGGCGGGGCCTGGAGGGGCCTGGAGGGGCGCGGTGTGCACGTGCACGCCGCGAATCTTGCTTTTTCCCTGCCCCGTCTCCAGCAGGCTCATTCCGCGCGCAGTGCTTTCGTCGCTCCGTCTCTCTCGCACCTCTAGCTGAAACGCTCCCATGAGCGCGCGCGCGCGACAGAGAGAGACAGAGCGACGGAAGGAGACTCACCCTTCGCGACGTCCTCTGGTCCGGCGCACAGCGAGCGCCCCGTCGACACGCAAGCCTACCGCACCGCAGCACCGCAGCCGGCTGAAGACTGAAGCCCGACCATCATGAGGGAGTCAGGGAGCCTGCGACCTCCCTTCCCCCGCTCCGCGCGCAAGTCGTGGAGTCAGTGCGTTTGTTTTACTCGTTATCGCGAGGCGGACCGGCAGGGCCGGGCAGGCCATGGGGCTGCACTGGGACTGCACTGCACGCAGTGCTCGTTGCAGTGCGCAGGCCGCGCCAGACTGTAGGCCGATTCAAATCGGGGGCGCGGAATCTCAATCTCATTCCCGGGCTAAGCCGAGACCAGACCGAGGTCGCAAGTCGAGCAAGGCGCAGATGAAGCGGAAATGGGAGTGTTAGCGCGGCGTAGGGAAGGCTTCCCATTGGCTTGCACGCCGGCCGGCGGCGCGAGTTCGTGTGACTGTGTACGTACGTCGTGTACGTCAGTCGGTGCGGACGGCGTTAGTATGCAAGTGTGTGTCCGGTGGTGCGTGCGTCGCGGTGCGTCGTGGGAGAGGCCTAGGAAGTTAGATGCCTCTTGTCAGGTGGGCTACCTTCTCGGAAAAGATAACGTGTTCTACAGTGGGTCCGATCACACACTCTCTGGAAACTCGGCCGATTCCGAAGAGTCGTTCCGTCGCTCTGTCTCTGTCGCACTCGCATGGAGCCTCCGGAAGGGTGCGAGAGAGACAGAGAGACAGAGCGACGAGGCGCCTCGGACGTCCCTTCTGGTTTGAAAGGCCTCACAAGACTGACCATGACATCAAGGTGCACACTACCACTACAAGTGCCCAGCACTGCCCTTAAAGTCAACTCCTTGAGCTGGGCGAAACAGGAAGATTTAGGTGCGTTTAGCAAACAGGTTCAACGCCATTGTCAGTCCCTGCCTGACGAACACCGACAATGGTAAGAGAAAGCTCTTTGCTTGATTTACTTTTCCGCCCAGCTCAAGTCGGCCCGTACCTCCCTCCCTCCCGTGAGCTAGTTACCCTAGTTACCTGCCTCGCGGCGCTCCTAGCGGATCCTCGCCGAGCTGGCCGGCCTCGCGTCTCGGTGGGTGTGGCCGGGGTGTGGGGTCTCGGGCCGCGCAGTTTCACGTGCCGCCTTCAGCCCCTTCATGATGAGGACCATCCCGGTGGGTCAGTCCGTCAGTCGTCGGGGTCCCTCTCCGTCTTGTACTCCGTCCTGTACCAGCCCGCGGCGGCCATGGCGTCGCTGGGGGGCGGCTGGTGCTGCAGGAGTCCGGGGAAGGCGTGGCCGTGCGCGGCGTGGAGGTGACCGGCGTGGCCGAGGTGGCCGACGTGGCCCTGCATGTGCGCGTGCACCACCGGCGGCTCGGTCACCTGGATCTCGCCCTGCCCCTCCTCGATGCTGAGGCTGAGCGACGCGGCCGTGGCGTTGGCGGCGGCGATGCGTCGTCGTCGGTCGCGTTCCTTCTCCCGCTTCCTGGCCAGCACGGAGGGGTCCGTGGCGAGCTGCCGGCGCCGCTCCCGCTCGCGCTCTCGCTTCCTCTCCAGGACGGCGGGGTTGGACTCGAACAGGCGGCGCCGCAGCTTCATGAGCTCGTAGGCCGCGGGGTCGGACTCCAGGCGACGGCGGCGCTCCCGCTCGCGTTCGCGCTTCCTCTCCAGCACGGCGGGGTCGGTCTCCTGGCGGCGGCGGCGTTCTCGCTCGCGCTCCCGCTTGCGCTCCAGGGCCGCGGGGTCCGCTTCGAGGCGCCGGCGCCGCTCGCGCTCCATCTCGCGCTTGCGCTGCAGCGCCACGGGGTCCGCCTCGATGCGGCGCCGGCGCTCGCGCTCGCGGATGCGCTTGCGCTCCAGCACCGCGGGGTCCACGACCAGCTGCCGGCGCCGCTCGCGTTCGCGCTCCCGCTTGCGCTCCAGCGCGCTCGGGTCGGCGGTGACGCGGCGGCGGCGTTCGCGCTCGCGTTGCCGCTTGCGCTCCAGCGCGTCCGGGTCCCTGGCCAGGCGCCGCCGGCGGTCCCTCTCGCGCTCGCGCTTGATGCGCAGCATGGCCTCGCGGCGCGTCTCGCCCGGCGGAGCCTGCTCCGCCTCCTCGTCCTCCCCGTCCTCGGCCTGGACCTGCACCTGCACCTCCAGGGGCATGTGGCCCATCGCCAGCCCCATGGAGGGGTCCATGGGGTGCACCATCGGGTGGCCCATGGGGTGCGGCATGTGGTGGCCCATGTGGTGGCCCATGGGGTGGCCCATGGGGTGGGGCATGTGGTGGGCCATCGGGTGGGCCATGGGATGGGCCATGGGGTGGCCCATCGGCAACCCCATTGGCATGCTGTGGTGCTCGCTGGTCTCTCCCGGCATCTCGTTCATGACAGCCTACCGGCGACGGCGGGGGAAACTCTTCTTATCGAGTCCGACGTGGGCGTCCCGGCGTCCCCGTCCCGGCGAGCCGGTCCCAGAATTGCGCGTTGACTGGAATTAGAATAATTCGAGGGTCAGTGATATGCGAGCAGCAAAGACCCTGAGAGGCGGTATTTGAACCCTGGGCACAGAGGACTGATCCCGACCAACGGCTTCGTCACAAGACTGATTCCGTTTCAAACTACACCTCCACCCCACGCACTACGCACCCCCACCGACGTCGGCCCACGGATAAGCAGAAGGCGGTTCACCCACAGGCACCCCCACACCCTAGTTACGTAAAGCAGGACTGGACACTTCAAACGCATAGGGTTGAATGGAAAAGCAACTATAGTGGACTAAGCTGGACAGGGGCAGGAGGCTGGCGGCCATCTCCCAATTCACCCTCATCTGCGCCATGGCATGCAGTGTGCACCACCTTGAAATGACCCGTGGTAGCCTCGCGATGTGGAGCTGTGAGAATGATGGAATGTGAGGAGTGGATGCCACGGCACGACCAAGGCACAGGGCACGCAGGGCACGCATCGCGCCAGGCCTTTGTAGGGACCAGAGCCTTCTCTTTTTGTAGAACCCTTCTTTTTTTTGTAATAGCCTGTGTGTGCGTGCGTGCGTGTGTGGAGGCCCAGGGGCGCCCAAGGGGGAGAGGGAAGGGAAGGAGTGGAGGGGAAGGCTACACGTTTCCAGCTGCAGACGTGGGTGGGAGGGAAAGGGGGACTTAATGTAATAGGAGAGAGAGAGAACAGCTGTTGTATTTTCTTTTAGGGAGACGATAGGCACTAATTAAGACAAATTAAGTCAGACTGCAGTCTGCATGCACGGGAGCATTCGGGGCGGGAATCGCAAGGGAGTCGGCCGACCTCCGCCACCGCCAGGCTCACTGTCTCTCTCGCGCCCTTGTGGGACGCCCCATGAGTGCGAGAGAGACGGAGCAACGGAAGCACAGGTCAGTCAACAGGCTGGCGGCAGCAGTGGACAACGGCAGGGCCCGCTGGGTAGGCATCCCAACGCGCACGCCCGAACCGGGCGGCTGGCTTGGCTGGGGCGCTACCACGCCGGCCCAAGTCTTTCGTGCGTCTTACTCCGAGTCTCCAGGGTCCATCCCGGTAGTGCAGGCCGTTCAGACTAGCGGACTAGCGTAGCACGGCCTGCCCCTGGCCTGCGCGCTTCCCTCGTGAGATCGCCGCGGTGCTGAGCGCTGAGGGAGCACGAACGAACCGGCGGGAAGGGGAGAGGCCAAGCAATGTGCGTGCGTGCGTGAGCTGCGTGTGCGTGCGTGCGTGCGTTCGTGTGTGCGTGCGAGGGGACGTGCCTGCGTGCGTGCCATGTCTGGTTGCGTTGTGCCGAGGCGGCCTGGCGGCCCGGCCCAGCGGCTATCGCCCCCTCTCCCTTCCTCCCTCCCTTGTATCGCGGACGCTGGAACACACACGCACGCACGCAAGCGCACACGCACACACACTCACAGACGGCGTACCCTTCCTCTCTCTCACACACACACAACTACACACGCGCTCCCTGCCATGCACAGTCTCACAGCTAAGCACACACGCACACACTAACTCTCTCACACACACACTCGGACAAACACGCGCACTCACACAGCAAGCACACACACAGTCCCACAAGCCGGGCACACAGAGCAGCGGGCCGCTCCGGCCTGGAAACACGTTCAAATCGATAGAAACTTGTCGAAATTGAGAAGGAAAAGAAGTGGAAGAGTTTGAAGGGAGAACAATTGGGCAGGCCACCGAACATTTTGAGCAGTCCCTGAGTTCGAAATAAGTGCTTTGAGGAAGTCCCTGAAGGATTGTGCTTATCAAAGCACAGCTGGCAACTCTATAAAACATGGAAATTTCGAACTCTTTAGCATTGCGGTTCTGCACCTTGACATTTATCCACATTTCGGACTGTACACTGATCCGTGCTGGCAGGGGGTCCAAAGAAAAGCCGGGCGCTGCGCGGGAGGGAGGGGGGGGGGAGGGAGGGAGAAAGAGAGATGGAGAAGGGGCGGGAGGGTGGCTCCAATTTTGTTCCAGCGAGCGGCTGCCGGCCTGCCACGCCAGCTGGAGTATAGATAGACAGGAGAGATAGGCCTCACTCGCTAGGGGTGGGTGGGCGACGCAAGGCGACGCAAGGGGAAGGGGTGGCGGCGAGTGGCGCCCACCTCGCACCTAGCCGGCTTCCTTTTCCTTCCCTTTCCAACGACAGCCTTGGATTCTGTGGTTCTGAGCGGCCAAGGACGCGGACCCGCGCGGACCAAGGACATGCTCGGACAGGGTCGCAGCCAGAACTGCTGAATGAATGAATGAAGGCGCGAGTGACTGACTGGACGAATGAACGATGAATGAGGCCGGATGAATAAATGAATGGCCGAATGAACGAATGAATGAATGGGCGAATGAGTGGAAGGACGAATGAATGAATAAATGCATGCATGGGATAAGCACAGAAGTATGTAAGAGGCCTGTCAAGCCAAACAAAAAGTGAGCAGGCATGGGTTTTGAACGTCATCTAGAACACCGATGACAGCACAGTGGCCAGGCAGGCCGTGGGCCTCGACAGTAGAGCCTGGTAAGCCCCAAAAGCACCCATTCGAATCACAGGGAACGGCGGTGCGCATGCATGCACCTGCATATGTTACTCGCAGTAGGGCAAAAGAGTCACCACAAAACCAAATCAGCGTTGACGCGATAATTAAAGTCCCTCCGCGGAAAGGGGGAGGGGGAGAACAGCGCAGCACTCGCAGCAGGTACACTGGGGACCAACAAAGTGCGGAGCCATGAGCCAAGTTTAACCGGGCCGTGCGTTAAGCACCTTTAAGACCTTCGCTAATAAGCCTCGCCTGGGGCATGCCTGGGGCCGCGTTACCCTGTTACTCGGTGACGTCTGTCACGTTGCAGTGGAGTGGAGAGGTTATGCTGGAGTGGAGGGGGCAAGAAGGCCCACGGGTTCAAGCCTACAGCCGAAAGGAGAGAACAAGTCGGTACTTACTCGAGCAGTCCGCTGGTCGCTGCCTGCAGTTGCTGGCACGGCCAAGCACGGCCTGCTTGCTTGCTTGGTGAGGGCCTTGGAGTGCAGGGGCTTAGCCTGTCTCAGCCTGGCCGGTTTCAAGGCACGCACTACCAAATTGTCCTGGCAGGGCGGCGGAGCGGCGGCCGGGCGTCGCGACGGCGACGCTGCGAGGCACCCAGACGGCGTCGGCGGCATCCACGAACTAACGACTCGCGCACGGCCCGCCCGAGCCGCCCGAAGCGGCCCGAGCCCGATTCCCGAAGAGCGTCGCGGTGCCGAGGAGGCGCGTTCGGCCGGCTCGGCCTGGCTCGGCCGCCAACGAACGGGTGCCCCGCTAGTCCCCGCGCCACCCCCCGCCAGCTGCGTCGCAGGAGGGCGAAGGCGTCGCGGCCCGCCGCCGCACCCCGTGCGCGAGTGCGAGAGAGAACGCGACCGCGACGCCGCGACGCAGCCTGCCCCTCCCCCCTCTCCCCAGTGCCCACGCCACGCCACGCCGCGGAGGTTGTCTGCGCCGTCTTGCCGGTCCTCCCCGCCTCGCCGCATTGCAGCTCAGGCACAGGCTACGTAGTACACTGTTGAGGCCAGCCAAGATCAATCCCCCTTCCCCCCTACCAAAATAAAAAAAAAACTGAAGGGCTTGAGTATAGCCCTGCTTTTGGTTTTGGAAATTTTTGCCAACGCAGTATCTTAACATGTGAAAGTGTGAAATGTACTTCGGCATCTCTGACAATCGTCTCTACAAATTTCTCTTTTCATCAGAGATATGGAATCAAGCCAGTTGAAGATTGGGAAAATGGAATAAATAAAATGAATCTTAAGTCTACCACTTTATTGTATAAATGTAGCACTGACTGGCACCAGCCAACCATCTACAGCGTCAAAGTTCATATCACTTAAAACATTGAATAAAGAAAGTGATCAAATCATAAATCTAGAACTACACTTCAAGTTATTAGCATGGGGCCACCCACCACAAATGAACAAATTCACGTAGGTAAAAATACACATTAAAATGGAAATACTTTAGAAAGGCAGAAAAAAGAAAGACTCTTTCAAAGCAATTACAAAATATCACTGCCTATATCTGAAGCAAGACACAGTGCAACAAACAAGTTAACACTAAATATTAAACACATGGCCTGACACATTAATGCTAATACATTTTACAAGAAAGTCTAAACCTACATCACAATCTTCCCCATTCAGTTTTTTTTTCTTTTTGGTTTATGATTTTTAAGAAACTAAGAGGCTCATAAGCCCCATGACTAATTGAAAATAAGCCATCCCGCCCCACACCCGTTTCTTCTCTGTCCTGGGAGGGTAACAGTTTGGTGCGAGAACATGTTAAAAATCTGTCTTGGGGTTTATGAGCCACCTGTTACATGCACATTTGTTTGTAAATATTACTTCTGCCTAGTGAAAATTGTTATTGAAACAATCAAATCACCAGATTCAACACAAAATGTCAAAATTAAAAGAGGAATCTATATGAAAGCTGTATGAAATTGTGTTTCATCACCACAAATAAAACAGAAAGCTTCCGCTAACAAATCAGTTAGAGGGGACGAGCTGAAAAGAAGTTGATATGATTCTAGCACGTACGAGGTAAATTAACAAAACAATAAAGTCATAATCTAAATTGTAGGTGAAGTTCTGCCTCATTCACTCTCAGATCTTGTAAAATCTGTATTGTAGTTAAGTGCTCAAGTGGCTGGAAAATACACATAAAATTAGAAATGTAACTAGCAGAAAAGATTTGAATAATTATTATTATAAAATTTTGAGGGACATACCTTCAAATTTTCCCAAGTCTACCTCTTCACTTTTGAGGTCATGTGAATCAGTATTTGAAGCAGATTTTTTCCTTCTGGGATTTTTTGAAGATTTTGCCTTGTCAGGAGACTCAGTCTGGGCATCCCCCTCAGTGTCATTTACACTTGTGAGCTCTGAAAAATTTGTACATATAATGGTATCTTGACAGGGAAAATATTGTGTCAAAATGATTGAAGTCAATAAAACTTACTTTCAGGGTCAACTACAAGAGCGTAAACCTTATCCTTTGTCATATGCTTAACAGCTTTGTTAAACTTTTGTACCTCTTGATGGAAAATTTCCCAGAATGATGTATGATGAGGTACAGCAAACAATTTCTGAAATGAAAATATGTTGTAATGTGGAAACACATACATTTCTATAAAAAGAAAAATGACATAATGCATAGAACAATACCTTGAACTTGTGATACATATGGGTGGCTTTCAGTCTTATCTGTTCACAGCTATCCACGAACTTGTCCTGAAATTGGAAATAGGAGACTGAAATATCAAATTTCACTTTCATTAAGTTTAAAAGTTAAATTACTCACCATTTCTTCATCTGTGAGATGCCACTTGGAGGCATTGCCAATATATCTTTGAAGCTGAAATCAAAGCAGAAAGTAAAATGTAAATGTTGACACAAACTGGTTTACATACAGCCCATCAAAAAATTCCAGATTTTAATCTCTGCAAGTATCTTACCTTCTTCACAGTTTCAACAATATTGGGATGTTTCTTCAACATTAGAGGATCAATATTTACATAGAGCATTTCATCCATTAGCTGCAAGCAGCGGCTTGCATCAGCTCTGGCCAGACTAAGGGATCCTCTTATTTGAGCATCTAACTCTAAAAGGTGAGCTTCCTGTTTCAGCCACCTAGGCACAAAAACAAATATTTTAAAATTGACCTTACATCAAGAATTTATAATTTACTGTCCTTGGGAGAGGGAGCATACCTCAACTTGCCACGCTTGCGATTTAATTCAGTTTCTTTCTTTAGTTCTTTCTTCTGAGCATCTGTCAAATCTACCTTGCCTTCCAATTGTTTCTTGATGGTATCTGGCAAGTACTCGCCCAATTCAATTTGAGCTTTGAGACGTTCAGCGTTTCGAGCAGTTGCAGCATCCCACAGCCGCCTGGCTTCTTCACTCTGGAATGATTGATTTGGATGTGAGGAAGAGTTTGCATTACAGTCACTGCCACAAAGATTACACAACACCGTGTCGGCACTTGCCTGGAAGGAGGAGGGCCTTTCATCATCCAACCTGATCTGCACCCAGTGACCAGACAAGGCTTTGGCCATGATTGCTCGGTTAGGATTATCACTTGGTATACCACCTTGAGTATCAACTGGGGTTTTGGCACTTTCATCTAATGGGTAAAAAGAGGCACAGAGATTAAACAACAAGACACAAACAAATACAATTGTGGAACCACACTTAGAAGTGCTTATTGATTACCTGGGGAAGGTTGTGTTGGGGGAATACTTGTTCTTTGAGCCTGTGGCTTTCTTGTTTTAAGTGGTTCTGGAGAACTGGGAAGAGTTACTGGAGACACAATTGATGCGCTTGGAACTTCTGGAGGTATTCCCGTGATACCACCGGAATTGTTATCATAGGTGTCATTGACTGTTTCTATATCTTCATCATCATCAGCAAACTTCTTTGGTTTGATTTTTCTTCCTGAACGGCTCACAGCTTTCACTTTGCTGTTAGGAGAATCTCCATCTACCGAAGAACGCCCACTGGGGGCACCTCCAACTGGAGTTCCAGCAGACAGTCTTGCTTGTTTTCGCTTTTCAAAGTCCTGAAGAGTTAAAAAAAAAATAGAAGTAAAGGTTGTAGTGTTGTTAAAATTTTTTTTAAATTCATACTTTTTATTTCATTAGTTACCTCTGAAACACTGTCCATACTCTCACGTTTTCGTTTCAGCACAGTGGTTATCTTTTTCTTTTTTTCTACAGGTACAGCATTGGATGTTATTGAAGATGACAAGTTTTCATCAATGATCAGAGATCCTTCAATATCAGGCTCTTCATCCATAGTGCTTTCTGAGAAGGGAGGATAAGTAGGAGCAAAACCATTCTGAAATAAAAATATAAATATTAAACATTGAGATTTTTTTTTAAAAAAAAGGAATACAAATGTTTCTTTCTTCATAGGCAACTTACAAGCTCCATTTCAATTTGGTGGAGACCCTCATTAAAACCTTTCCGCTTCAGTGGTTTTGCATATTTATCTTTGTTAGGAGCATATGGGATAATTTCTTCTACCTTACATATGGCCCTGAAAAATGAGAACAGATTGAAAAGAATTTGAATGCATCATTCCCAAGGTTAATGTTATAAGCTCCAACAAGGAGAGTGTGTGGAATAATCGCACAGGTCGAAAGGTCTTCATTCAGGCCTGTCGGCTAAGACCACAAATTGATTTAGGGAAAAGTTTGCACACAACTCTTATACTTATAGAGCTATAGAATAAAAATCTTCCCAGAGAAATGGTGGTGGTGATAGAAATAGTTAAAGCGTCTTAGTGTAGAGAGAAATGGAACAGAACTCACGTCTCGTTGGTGCCATAAAAAAACACATGGTACTTCATTTTGTTTGGGGTTTCATCTGCACAAGCCTCAACCTGAACAACACAAAAAAACATGAATAGAGAACAATGCAGGAAAATAGCATCAGAAAATGATAAAAGCCTTAGATGGACACTCAGTACGCAAAAAATGTGCTCTATCACATGGAAGCAACGCAGACAGATAAAACATGTTCTCTTACCCGTGCAGGCCAAAATGGATAACCTCGAACCTTGGCGAAGACCCTGTCGCCAGACTTAAATTTCAGCGACATCTTGCTGCAGTCTAGATAAAATTATTGCCTGTAAAAAGTAATGTAAATTAACATCCCAAAACACCATACACACCTAGTGGTTAGGGACGACGAATTTTGGTAAAATCAAATAAAAAAGCAATTGGCAGGTACTTGAACACACGATGGGGACTGGGTCTTAACGTACTTTAACTATAACGGATATTAGCAAGACAAGGAAGATGGTTAAAGTGGAAAATGCATGGAGACAAATGATCTAACAACAAAAAGTTTAGGCGCGGAAGGAAAGGAGGACGAGTCACTTTCCACCGTTTGGCAGAAACTTGAAAGAACTTCACAATTGTGGTAAAATAAATTCAAGGGGCTCCCCACCGAAGAAAAGATAGTGAAATATGATTGAAACCAAATAATTTGAAGTAATTTCTGACGCCTTACATTAAATAGAGACAAAGTCGGCTTGCACCTCTCCTCTCTCTGCAAGGATCTGCTGCTGCTGCTGCTGCGCTGCTGCCGCTCCGCGGCTGTTATGCTTTCATGCACTATGACAAATTAAGAGTACCACCAGTCAAAACTTTTCATACCCAGTGAGAACACTTTTCAAACCATTTCCAACCAAGTAAATGGAGAAAAATATGGACGGAAAGCGATGTGATCGCGATCGCAGGCATAGGCACCAATCATTCTGACGAATAATGAATCTTCAATCAGATGATCGCGGTGGAATGATGACTTGCCCCGAATGCAGAAATCATAGGAAGTTGCAAGGACTTCATTTCCCGCCAAATTCTGCATCGCTGCAAATTATAAACAAAAATGCATGGTATTGTCTATTTTATGTTGAATAGCTTATTTTGTGAATGGACATGACAAATCTAAGAAAAAGCGAGACCTTCCGGTCGGATGTTGAACACTGACCACCGACTTAAAAATTTCGTGTAAAGACGTTTCCCCAGTGGAAGAATTTCACCGTCACTAAACTTTGTGGGGAGTTCCCACACGCAAACGCGCATCTTGAAGAAAACTTTTTGAAGGACAACCATCTCGGTTTCGAGGAAATCCAGGAGATGCATTTCATTCAGTATTGGTACTTAGGTGGTGGGGAGGGAGGAAACCATGACAACATGTAAACACAGTTGTTCTACTAACAAGTCATTGAGATGGTAATGATGAACTGTGTAGTTTCGGGTAGTCTCTTGCTAATCATGAGCCTATTGGATTAAAGGGCTGCCCATTTTACGGTCAAATGGCACGCTAAGCACTCGCTGTCATCTCTTTGCAGTCGTCTCGTCCGACAACGATCAAAGAAGCATTGAAGCGGTGGGAAGAGAAACATACAGGGGCCAACATTTCGGAGGCGAAAGAAGTAAATCTTCAGTGGCAATGGCCGCCAATAGAAAAGATGGACAACTCGCTGTCCGTCCTCACCGCATGCGAGTAAGTAACCCTGCCTTCAAAATAGGCTTCCATTCGCGTCGCTACCCCATCCACCGATGTGCGTGAGTCTCTCGCGGCGAGGGGTATCGACCTGCGTTTGTGCAAGTTTCTCATAGTAGTAAGTGTTTACGGTCTCCGCCGAAGGATGGCGCGCGTGTTCAAGCGCAGCACAGTCTCGGTGCAGCATGCAGCCTTAAGCAGTATCAATAAAAAACACATTTCTGTCTATATTGTTACAGGAAACTATCCCTGTCAACCAACATGATTGAGAAAATAGCTGGAATAAGTTCACTGAAAAATTTGAAGATATTGTCTTTGGGGCGGAACTATGTGAAAAATTTCGCGGGACTGGTAAAATGGCCTTCCTCTAACAACTGACCTTAACTTTACTTCATGCAGGGCGTGTGATCAGTCGTTTGTATTTCAGGAAGCTGTCGGTGACAGTTTAGAGCAGTTGTGGATTTCTTACAATTTGATTGAGAAGATAAAGGGGGTGAACGTGCTGCGCAAACTCAAAGTCCTCTACATGTCCAACAACCTGGTGAAAGATTGGGTCGAGTTCAACCGACTGGCGGAGATACCCATGCTGGAAGACCTCCTCTTCGTAGGTGAGCTTGCGAGTTTAGTGCAGAAGCGGTAGTATTTGCGCAGGCTCGCGAGAACGGTCACATACTTGGAAATGCGCATGCTGCCTGTCGGGCAGGCCACCCCAATGACCGCGGTGAACTGGAGGCAGCGACCGGCAGCTGGGCGTTTCGTACTCGCGACTAATCGACTTATCGACGCCCTTTTCGGTCCGAACAGGCAACCCGCTGCACGAGAACACCGACGAGTCCGTGTACCGGGGCGAGGTCATGAAGAGGCTGCCGAACCTCACCAAGCTGGACGGCGAGCCAGTCATCCGAGAGATGTGACTCTCCCTCTCCGACTCTTTTTTCCTCGTTTGTCGCGCAATATCCGCAACCATCGCTTTGTTTCTCTGGAAATGATTTATTCCTTTCGTTTTATACTCATTTGTCGGCCAGGCTGGGGCGGAATATTGAGTTCGGTGTGCGCGGCGGGACTGTGCATGGGCAAATAGGTACCCCTCCCCTCCCCCCGATGGCCCTAGCGGCCCTAGTAGGAATGCCCGGCGCAATGGCGATGCGCCACGCCACGCCACGCCGAGATATAATGGGGCGCACCAACACAATAACTCGAGTGTGTGGATTGTCCGGCGATGCACCGCCAGCACCGCCTGCATTCGCCGCCCCGTCATCCGGAGCCCCTCTCTCTCGCTCTCTCTCGTTTGGACAAGGGTGGCAATATGCGCATTATTCACGGGCTCATGCGCCGCGGAATTTACGAGGTAGGCAGCCACGCTGGCAGCGCGCGAGGCGGCACGGCGCGGCACGGCACGGCCACACGCCACGCACCCTCCCGCAGTGTGCGCACCCCCATTCAACTCAAGGCTGTCCCACTAGTCATCCTACACCCCGACGACGGTACGACGGTCAGATAGCCTCCTGGCACGTGCGATGTGTGATCCGCGTCCCTCTACGTCCCTCGGCACCCTTCCTCTGACAGGCGAGAAGGGCTCCAGATCTGGGATTGTTGCTCGACACCGCGTCGAGAGGCGCCGAATATCGTCCGGGGGACCGAGAGCTTGAACCTTGAACCTCGGCGTCGGCAGTGGCGGAACCTTTGCGTTGTGCGCAACCACGCCAGGGAAAAATCAAAGTGACGTCTGAGTGAACCCATTTTGGACGTCATTTTGACTGCAGTCCTGCAGTCCGTAGACAGGAAGACATGAACCCCGTCCCGTTTCCCGTTCGAGACCTGAGAGCCCTCCCGAGCCCCAACCCCAACTGGCGAGTTGAGCCGAGTCCCGCGGGGGCCCTTGCCGTTGTCTTCTCGGAGGATGCACCTTGCGCCCGTTGGACATGGCATCCCCGTTCGGCGCCGATCGGCGATTCGGCAAAGGCGTGAGTCCGGCCGTGGCCGGGGCCGTGGCGCTCTCAGACACGTGCCGGGCGAAGACACGTGTGGACAGACACGTGCGCAGAATGGCCAAGGTGACTGCATATCAACAAAAACATTCTAGCAGCGACAAAGACGTTGTTGTTGTTGTTGCTGGATGCGGCACGCGGACCGGACAACAAGTGGCCAATAACATGACACGACTCATGCAAGGCGTGTCGTGGCGCGGCACGTGCACCCACTTAGGGTCTCGTTTTATTAGTTTTATTCAATACAAAGGGTCGGTCGGGTGGCGATGCGGGGACAGTAGGGACTGCGGGGTGGTGGTGTGTTCGTCCTCTCCAAAGTGCATTTCATTTCCTCCGCCACGCTATGCCATGTATGTCCGTCCGATGGTGATTTTAATAAAACAACCTGACAGCGATGCCTTCATTGTGATGAAAAATAATAACTCTGCCCCCCCCCCAAAATGCCAATGAAATGCTTGGTTTTGGGCGACTCTTGTTTATTCCCGTTTATCAATTTCAATTTTTTCGCGAGTATTTTTTTTTCTTTTGTTATGTTACGCAGTGCTCAAATAAAAGTTAAATTTAAACAATGATCTGTGTCACCATTGAATTTTCACATCATTCATTACTCATTACAATACAGACAGGAAAAATGGCTTTTACATTTTCACCGATTTGATTTTGAAACGGATTGAAATCGATGAGGCATTGTGGAGTCGATGCCGGTAGGTTTTTGATGCTGTCACTCCGCCCGACAGGCCGCGACAGGCACCGGGACTACCCACCCATCGAGTACTTCCACTTGTTTAGCTTTTCAATAAGGGAAGATACACGTCGACGTGGTGTGCGGACTCTGCGGCACGGACCAGGCAAACCAATATATTTCGCATTAAAGCGCTTGAAAGATTCCATTGTGGGTGGCGCTCCGCTGGGCCACGCTGCGCGAGCTGCGCGAGCTGCGCGGTGTCCGGGTCTTGGCAGCGCCCCGCCCCGCCCCTCCCCCCACGCTCCACCCTTCGGTCGCTTGCTGACCCCTCCGCTCTTCCTCGTCATTGCATCAGTGCAGGACAAGAGACCTTCGCTTTTCGACATGATGAACCCCTTTCATCCGCAACTTTTCCGTTCCACGCTTCCGCCGTCCTCGCGTCGGTTTTGGCTCGACACCGTCTTATCTCGGAGCCAATTTGTCGAAGCAGGGCAACGCGCCACCCGAATTATCATCTCGCAGGGACGAGTCGCAGGACCTAAGGCGAAGACTCACATCGCGCCACTCCACTGGTGGACCTCAGCGCAAGCGCGAGACAAACTCGGAACGATGAGACAGTTTGTGAAAAGTAAGTATAGCGTGACTTTGACAACTCGAATGTTTGCTTTAGTGTGTGTATTCAGTACAAACTTTGGAACGAAAGCCTGTTAAGGCCGCACTTCAAGGCGTGTACTAAGGGCTTTACTAAGCCCACACCTCGAAGTGTGTGTACTTGACTCAGAACGCGAGCAAGTACAGTCACGTACTCTCTTCAAAGTGAGTGCTTAGACAAGTATATGCACTTAAGCTTCAAGTGGAAACCGGAGCTTGAGTTGCCTCGTGCTTACCAGATGCTGCGGCCGCCATGGTGTTGCTCTCTCTGGCCGGGGCCTTCGCGGCGGAGCCGAACCAATTTGGCGCCAAAGACAATCACCCCGCGCCTTCCGAAAGGGCAGGTTTAATTCCCCTGGGGATCGGAACGACCGTAGCAGTGGTAAGTACTGTGGAGGACACAGACACCAGCTTTTCAAAACATTCTCTGTTCACTGGCATCACTGTTCTGTTCCGTCGCAGGCGTTGGTCTCGATAGGCTACAACCTTCTGTTCAACCTGCCGCTCTTGGGCCTGCTTCTCGGACCACTTCTCATAATGCTGGGACTCCTACTGGCGCCACTTTTGATTTTTTTACTCGGCTGACCTCGCTTATTGATGCTCCATGAAATTTTCAATAAGTGGGTAAAGTTACACCTAACCTAACGCAAGGCGAGCCCGCGTCTGCGTGACGTCGGCCGCGTCGTCCACGTTGGTGCACCTGTGGGAAAACAGCTGGTAACACGGCGGCATGCTGGCCAATCGGCAGAAAGGGAAGGTCACAGGACCAAGTCGATTGTTTCGGATAGAGGTTAATAAAAGAGAGAAAACAAAAGGCGAACCGGCCAGCAAATAAACAGAGAGAGAGAGACAGAGAGAGGCATTCGAAAATAATTCGACCTTGCCTGGCAGCCTGGCTGGGCGGCAGTGCCGGCTTCGGCCAGGGCAGTGCTGTAACGCCGCAACGCGGCTCGACAAGGCGCAGCACGGCGCAGCACGGCGCAGCACGGCGGCGCGACTTGTTCTCGATTTCGGAGGGCAGTCGCTTCGCTTAGCTTCGCTGCCTCGCTTCCCACGGTCCGGCCTCGACGCACACCTCTAACACAATGCCAAACGATTAAATTAGACAAGGGCGAGATGCGTCTGCCGGACCGCACGCCACTGCCTGGCCACTGCACTGCGCGGCCGGACTGCGCTAGGCGAGCGTTTGCCAAGACTGCTCGATCAGGGCGGTCGTCACTCTGTCTCTCTCGCACCCACACGGAACGCCCCATGAGTGCGACAGGGACAGAGCGTCAGCACGGCGACGCCGTTCAGACACCGCCTCGGCGCGCTGAGAATGCCCGCGACTAAATTATGACCTTCTCACGTTCACTCCGTGTTGAACTAGGCCCTGTCAAAGTCCCCGCTTTTGACTACCGTGTCGTGTCGCGACATCAACAAAACAAGATCATCAGACTGAAGAGCTCGCGGCCACTGTCACGCAGCGATTTGGTTGGTGGCAACGACGACGATTTTCGATGTGGATTTCTTAACATAAATACCGGCAAGCGGTCCGGCGTGGACAAGCGCTACTACAAAGCGGTGGGGGGGGGGGGGGCAAGGCCACTTTGGCGAAAGGACGCGACCGGGCCGCGCCGAGGCTGGCCGAGGGTTGCGGGAGAGACACACACAAAGTCGAGCCGCGCCCCCCTCCCCCTTCCGCCGGTCCGAGGGACTTGGCTGGACCCCGCGGACGGAACCCTCGGGACAAAAGTCGGGCGTTCATTATGTTGGCCCGGCAGGCCGGTTCCGAACAGCGCCCCGTCGCTCTGTCTCTGTCGCACCCCTTCGGGCGAGCCTTCGTGCCTTCGGGCCGGCCCGTGAGTGCGAGAGAGACAGCGCGCTGCTCGGAATGGGCCGGCCACAGCCTGCCGCCTTGCTGCCGCAGCCCGTCGGTGCCTTTGAGCCTCCTCCAGAGAGAGCGAGAGGGACGGCGAGAGGGCAGGCGAGTGGGACGGGAGAGCGAGAGAGAGAGGAGGGAGGGGACCGGGGGCCCAGGGCCGGGCGACAGGGAGATGACTCGACCGCTTTTTCTGTCTTATCTTATTTATTTAGGTGGCGATGTTTGATTTGAGATTTATTTCATTAAAAGCGCATTCCTGCTCGCGGTTCCGCGCTTCTGTCCCTTTGCCGAGCCGTCCCGGGGCCGTCCTGGACTCGGTCCTGGACTCGGTCCTGGAGAACTCAGCGCCGGCTGACTCATCCGTTCCAGGAGCACTAACCAGCCAGCCCTGCAGACTGATGTCGAAAACTCGTTGCGTCGCTCTGTCTCTGTCCAGCGCATGGGGCGTCCCGCTCGGGTGCGAGAGAGACAGAGCGACTCTTCGGGATCGCAGGACCGCCGCGGCTGCCAGGGGACACCCAGTCTGGGAATCGAAGCGTCTGGGGCGTCTGCTGCAGCGGAACCACGATGTGTCACCTTGACCGTGAAGGCGTTGAGATCTGACTGGACCTTTATCAAACAATGCAAAAATGAATAAAAACATATTTTATCCAAGCTTTTTAAGGTTAATATTTTATTAAAATCTCTTTGAAGCTCAGCTAGAAAAAAATGTCGATTGCTGATTTGTTTACATATTTTATCCCGAGAGAGTTCTCGTCTCAGTTCGCTCAATTGAGCTGCTTACAATTATTTTGCACTCAAAATATCAATTACTGTCTATCGCATCAAGCTCTGTTATTTGTTTCTAGAACATGAACCGTTCAGTCCCAGTCACAATGCACGGACTGAAAAAAAAACCAGCCTAGGACAGTGATTATTTGGGAGACAGACTGTCCGGCGGAGCGATCGGTAGCGGCGGTGGCCGTCCGGCTGGAAAAACGATATATATATATATGTGTGTATTACAATGATTTGTGGTGAATGTTGCACCTCTGTTACCTTTTGCCGTATCGAAGCGTATCTTGGGGGCGACGGCACCGGGATGCCTCTGCGCTCATCGCTAAGTTATAGGCCACGTGGCCCATCTATCTGCGGGGCAGCCCCGGGGCAGCCCCAGGCCGGCGGCCTCGTGGGTCGGGGGGAACGGATAGATTGATTTCAGATTAGTCGATGCTTTATTGGCCCCCTTGTCTTGTCGGAGCGTAATTAACATTGTCGTTAGGGTCGACGCGCGGGGACGCAGTCACGTGACTTGACTCAAGTGTCCCCGAAATTGAAGGGGGCCTGGAAAGCAAGGCGTTACGGTGGCGTGTTGCGAGTCGTGGAAAAGGGAGGAAAGGGGGGGGGGGGCGCCGGCGCCACCCTGTCCTCTGAGGACTACCCCGCGGTGGTGCTTTGTCGTGCACAAAGTGGACTGGTTACCTGCATTCTTCACATACTGTTCAGGTCTCTCTTCACCCCCTCCTCTTCATCGACTCCGGGGTGGCCCGCCTGGCTCCGGCCCCGCATGGCTCCGGGCCCCTGCGCCTCCGGGCTGTTCCTCTCCGGGGTTCCGGTCCGCGTCCCGCCGCCGTGCTGTGCCGAAACGCGCGCCCGTTCCTAGCCCTTCCGTTTGACCACCGCCCCCTTTTTCGTCTTCCGGAATGGCCGTTGGCCGCTATTGTGTGTCTGTGCCCGTGGAAGGACACGAGAAGAAAAGGTCGAATACACTCACAAAAAACGCACTTTCTTGGGGAGATCAACTCCGTTCGGCAGGCGGAAATCGGATGCCCACGACCAAAATCTGGTTGATGCGAAGGGGAATTTGTGCGACGGCGATGTGGGGGCTGCTGCCTGCACCGGCAGCCGATCAAACTAGCTAAATCAAGAGGATGCTTCAGGCCGCCGGGCGCAGCGAGGCGCAGCGGGCCGCCTGGGCGCGCTCCACCGACGACGAGGACCAGGCCCTTGGAGACAATCAACTCGCTCCAACACCCTGACGGCCTGCTCCGTTCAGGCTTCTCGATGGACCGCGCCCCCGGCCCCAGCCAGCCTCGGGCCTGTGGGTGCACTGGGTTGTCGAGCAGTGGCAATATTCAGCAGCGAGGTCCACAACAGGCTCGGACTGGCCCCCAAAGGGCCCCAGCGGATAAGACCGCAAAAGGCCCCCGATCATCATTGTTTTTACCCTTCATGACCAACTTTGTGAGGCTACCACTCCCAAACTAGTTGTGGTCAACGTCTTCCCGATACAGGGCATGAAAGAGCAGGGTCTTAAGAATACTAGGGCGTCGAGGGAAGCCTTTTACGGCAAC